ATTTGTTTCCAAGAACAAAAAAAAATCTTCTTAGAAACAGAAATAGGACCTTGACCAGCCGAAATAACTGTTCATGTGGATGGGCCAGATTTGAATATGTTACCGGTTCCCATTTTATGCATATTTTATGGTGCAAAGTCAAAAAAAATTGCAATTATTTGGTACCACCATTTGGGAAAATAGCATTTGCGTTTTGTCACCTGCTTCCCTTGGAGATAATCCATTGAAATACAGTTTGGAGGTGCTGACGCAATCTTCCATGTGAAGCAAAAATTAAGAGGTCGTCAACGTATAATGAAATCTGAATTACCAAACAAAAAATGGTGGAGGATTATGTAGAACTCCAGAACAATGGGTTCATATTGCAAACGACGTGTACGAGGCGGTTTTTGAATTACATTCGGATCATTTTCGGAATCGTTCCTCCATATTTATTTCCTGAATTGCAATTTTTGTGGCAGGTACAGCACTTGAACCTCGATCTGCAGACTTTGTGGCCGACGCAGCAAATGTGATGCATTTCGCTACACAGTCGTAGCGTTGTGTGAGATCCGTTGATTACTGCGCAGTCCCATTGGGGTAGCATTTGGAGGATTGTTTTTTTTGGGTATTGGATGTAGCCGTGCCATTCGGACTTGTGCGTTTCAGGATATGGTATCAAAGCTCGTTTTTCCTGACAAGTCTCAGTTAAAGTGGCGATTTTTGTGATGGGGGTGCACTGAGAACAGGTCGAAATAAGTCATTCTAAACGTTTGAAGTGATATCAATTTTCTTGAAACTTTCTTGGCAGGTGTCGGACTTTGTGGAAGTGCGATTCTCGTGATAGGCATAGGGAATCGTGCAGTTGCAGTTGGAGATAACATTTGGAAGCAGGTGCGTAATTTGGTGTCGTTAATCCTGCCAACCGCAGGAACTAAAGGTTGTGAATTATGGTAGAGGTGAATGTCGTTGTCACATTGGGTTGCTGTGTGAGTGGACTTGTTCATTTAATGTTTTTTTAGTTTTTACATTTAATTTATTGATGTACAAATATGCATTTATTTATCTGGAAATTTTGTGAATGATTTTTTCAAGGAATATATGTTTTGATAATAAGATTTGTTTTTTTTTTTTCAAGTGTATTGGAATTATTAGTAAATTGGTAGGATATCATGAGGATATATATATTTAGTTCATTTCGATCATCAATTTGTTTTTTTGAGTTATTTCATAGGAAAACAAATGTTGGTTGACTGATATTTTAATTTCATAATTTGATATTTCGAAATACATATATATAAGGTTTCATAGATAGAAAATATATTTTAATTCGATTTTAATAATTTACATTATTCAATAGGTGCGAAGCTATCGATGGCAAACGAAGTCCAAAGTAGCTGGTGATGTACAGTCGAGGCCCAAATAGACAAGAACCAGGAAGCAGTTTAGGCCAAGACAACCGATTGGGGAGCGCAAGAACGCGCAACGTCCGCGGATCTCTACAGCGTACAACTCACAATAGGTTTTTTTGGGATAGTGTTTCTGGAGTTCTGAATGCTCAATGAAAATGTCTGCCTAAATTCTCAAAATCATGGTCACCAGATTTTTTGTTTCGTAATTCATATTTCGTTACGTCTTGTCGACCTCTTAATTTTTTCTTCATGTGTAAGACCGCGTCAGCACCTCCAGACTGTGTTTCATTGAATCATCTCCATTTTCTCCCCAAAAACGTGATATCTTTGACTTTGCACCGTGATACATGCAAAATAAAATCTGGCCCATCCACATAAACAATAATTTCGATTGGTGAAAAGCCTTTTCTTCTTGACATATATTCCAAATCATTATATATGTATCAAATCAATTTATACGTCTTGCAAATTTCACTAATGCACTATTCATCACACAAGAAGCGCCGCCAATGCGGGCAATTTTTTCTGGCATGGAACCTGAACAACAAACCTGCAGAAGTGTGATCTGCCAGCCACGTGGCCACTTCATCTCTCACGCAGTCTCCCTGCGAGGACGAAGGGCTTGGACTTGGAAAATCGAACGACTTCGGTGCTTTCCACAGCAGGCACAAATGCGGAGGTGCAGCAAGTTCGGCTCGGTGATCTGCTCCGCATAGTGGCACGTTGGGGAGTCAGCTAATGCCATTCTTCCTGGAGGCTATGATCGGCTGTCGGCGCGGGCATTGGTCCATGTGGTCATCCATCGCTGTGATCAGGCGACAGAACATGGAGGCAGCATCCTGCAAAAGCGGACGGAGGTTGAGGATCTCCGTCGTAGCCAGATCCACAGCCCGGCGAGATTATCACCTCAACGTTCAGAAAAAACACCTGTCATAGATTCTGCGCATGGATATTCCAAGAGGTTCGGGTGCAGCTACATTCATGCACCAGTCATCATAAATAATTTGTGAGGTTTTTTGTGCATTTCTGACTTTAAACAAAGTCTCCATCCATGGTTTTTGGGCTAGCGCGTTTGCAATTTTTGGGGTGTTTTGGCAGCAGGTTCAATTAGTCCCATGTTCAATATCTCTGGTTCAGCTAACTCAATTTCAATACCTCTAGCTCCTTTTCAAAAGCTCTGGCTGCACACTCCAAGGACCTTTGTTATCTGTGACCTCAGCTGTTGCGACGTCCTACAGCAGAGCGTGAAGCAAATCGGTCTTTGGTGCCAGACAGCAGGGCTGCGGGAGGTTGTTCATGAGGGGATTTCTTTCCAGTAGCACTTCAAGTAGCCGCCCATGAACCGCATGAAAATGTGTTGTCAGTCAATGCGATCAACTCTATTGTTGCGCGACTCCTACACTGGAATAAATTTAATTGTTCTTGGGGCTTTGTACATTCGAATCCTGGCGTTCCGCAAAGCTGGATTTGCCAGGTTTGAAGCCACCAATTCCATTAAAAGAACTATATTCCCAAATCACATTTTGTGTTGCGTCTGCCACCAAAACTGCACCTAGAAGTTCACAAAGTAGTGTGCCTAGCAAATCCAACTCTACGGAACGACGGATGCAAAACAGACTCGGATCATGCTCAGATCATGGTCGGTTTTCGCTTGCTTCTTGAAGTGCAGATTTCGTAGCAGGCACAGCACTTTATGAACATTCATGTCCAGACTTTGTAGCTTTGTAAACCTCCAGCTGCAAATTTCAAGGGAGGTGCAGCATTTTGTAAATCTCCATTTTCAGATTTCATAGCAAGCCACGGATTCCATTAAAAAATACAACATTTCCTGCGTCCACTATCTCTCCAAAACTCATTTTGTATTGCGTTTGCCACGATCTACAAATAGAAGTTTATATATTATACGTGCAGCATAAAAATTCATAAAATGCTACACCTACCGCGACATCTATACCTCGAGTATTACACCTACCACGAAATTTTAATATATAACCATATAATTAAATAATATAAACCCTCCCAAACCAACAAAAAAAATCAAAATAACTTATACCGAAAAACGACCAATTTTAATCCTAAAATCCTTTCATATTTTTTTCATAGAATTACTTCTATATATAATACCATCACATTCATAAATCCTATTTAATAACTTAAGCAACATATATTCTGTCTATCAAACCTCAAATATATATATATATATTTCATATATATAAAATTATTAAATTAAAATATCATATAATCAATATATATTTTTAATTTTATTATTATAAAATTACAAAAATAATAATCGATAATTAAAATAAAATAAATATATATCATTCCCATAATATCCTACCAATTTAATAATAATTATCAAACCATATTCATTCCTCTGCCAGCGATCGCGATCGATCCGTCCGTATTGGGTCGCACAACTACGTATGGTTCCTTCTAAAAGATCGGTGGTCCATCAAAGTGCTTACATCGTCCTGGGTCCTCGGAAATAAAGGTTCCGAGTATAGCTGCATAAGGCCAAAAAAAGGGTCGACGATACTCTAGATATAGGTATCAAAACATATACTCCTATAAAAAAGATTAATAAATAAAATTTCGAAATAAATACATACATATTTATAAATAAAAAATATATATACTAAATTCTAAAAAAAATCGAATCCTAATCATTAATGTCAAAAGCGTGCATCAAATATAAAATTAATCGCCGCAAAAAAAATCAATAAAATCCAAAAAAACATGGAATTTTTAACTTAAACGAATTAAACGCGCGCCTATTAGTAAGCCTTATCGCAATATTATAAACAATAACAATATTTTTATATAATTTATCTTTATCTTAACTTTTTGCCTTTATCACCTTTGCCTTTAACTCAGCCCTACTTTATTTTTTTTGGCCCTTGCCTTTGTGGTCGACTATCATGTAATCAACCTACATGGGCTCAATTCAAAAATGCTCGAGGCTTAGGCGTGCTTTGTGCCAGGCTTTTCATTGAGTTGCAGGTGCTGCTGCAATTGTGCAGGACGGCAACGCATTCGCCATTCCAAATCCAACAAACTCCCAGCCAGCCGCTCATACTCGCCAAGCTTCTTACACTTCATGGCCCCTTGAGGGATCTTGCCTTTCTTAAACTGCGGTAAAAAAACCACCAGGACACGGACAATCCCAAACTTTCGTTGCCGTGTCTGGGAGAGATTGATTTCCCGCCTTGACCAGGCTCGAAGCCCATCGTTATTCGTAACACTCTAAACTGTTCAGGGAAGTTTCCCCTTCATGAACCTGATCAAGAAGGCATACAACTTCTTTGCTCTCTTCATATCCCTCCTCAATCTTCAGATCCTGCCCTAAATCCTTCTCGGCGTGCTCGAGCTTGGGATCCAAGCTTTAGGCATCGGAACCAATCGTTTTTTTCCCCTCTCTCTCTCTCTCTCTGTGGCTGCGCACGGCCCAGCCATGGGCCTCTGCGTCTCCCCTCTTCTTTCTCCACAGCTCCGTTGCCATCTAGGCCCGACTGTGCCTTGTCAAGTCTTTCTTCATATCATCTCTACATGTATTCACATGGAGGTATAGGTGTACATGACTTTTCACTTGAGAATATGATATGTTATATATTCACACATCTTGATACATAATCTATTTCCATCGTTTATCATGATTGAGCTTTCCTCCATACTTCAGTGGCCTCCAGCAACGCTCACGTTTGAACTTCCGAATGTCCCCATAATGCATGTATCCCATATGCGCGCAAATGATTGCGAAAGCTTGCCTGAACGAAACTCATGAGTCTCTTCAACCTCATTCTTGGCAACAAATTGAAGCGTCACCAATGATTTGTGATCAATTCTGCTTGCATGTCCAAGAGCGGCGCCCTTGTATGGCACTCTTCTGAGAGTCATTGTCCTCACAGTTTCCAAGGGATTCCATCTTTGCTGCCCTGACACTGTCGTGAAAAGAACAGCTGTCCACTCAGCGCCGGTCCAAGATGGAGGCCGTCTCTTTGATCTTGCGCAGCTTTTGCCCCCACATCCGATTGCCTGGTGAACAACCCATCGGGTAAATTACATTATTCGGTGGGGGGGGCTTTCAGCTTTGATGGACAGGAGGCTCGGAACCTCCATGCTTGTTTGACTCCTTCAAGACAGTTCGACTGTTGGAAAAATCTACGGACTGGACCGCAAAATAAGAACAAGTCACTTTGCAAGATTGCTCAATTCAGATTGTCAGGTGCAAGATCTGCCCGTGAAGTGTTTGTTGCACAAGTGAAGCAAGCGTCTTGGCCTGGCTGCGGCCCATCGCTCGACAGGAACTCGCCGCCGCCGATGGGCCACTTCGAGTTGCCAATGGTCAACTCCAAGTAAACCTTCAAGAAGCGCCAACGCTTTTCTTTTCAAAGGAAATGCGCATGATGAATTCTGCCATGTTTTTCCCCGCGTTGACGTGTGGTTTCTCACCACGTTGACGTGTGGGGTTTTTGTTTTTAAAGTGGTATCCGCTCCTCCTTCCTCCTTGCTGCTACCCACCAACTGCCACCCACCAATTGCTACCAACCAATTGCCACCAACCAATTGTCACCAACCAATTGCCACCAACAAACTGCCACCAACCAAGTGCCACCAACCAATTATCCCCAACCAACTGCCACCAGCCAAGTGTCCGCTCCTGTGTCTGCCGATAATTTTGGTTTTAGCTGTATCCGCTCCTCGTCTCCTCCTCGCCCCGCCGTGCACCAACCAGCAACCAACCACCAACCAACCACCAACCACCGCCAACACCAACCGCCACCAGCACCAACCACCACCGACTACCAACCACCAACCGCAAACCAACCACCACCAACCACCAACCACCAACCAACCGCCACCAACTACCAACTACCAACCACCAACCACCCCCCACCCACCAACACCAACCACCCACCAGCCTGGGAGTTCTGTCATCTCCGCCGCTCTGCCGGTGTGATTTGCGTGGGAGGCGCAGCGCTTGGTAACTCAAACTTGTGATTCTATGATGAATATAAAACACACTGATAAATTCATTGAAATTCCTTCTTGTGATGACCATCACATAAATACCAGAATCAGATCCACTATCTTTACAGTATAAATTAAATCGATAAAAAAGGGTAAAATATGATCTGAGCATTGGACAGTGCCATTGGGCAGTCATGATGCGTTTGGCTATGGTGGCGACGTCCGATTTTTTGAAACTAATGATTTTTCCCAATTATTCAATTTTTTCGGCAATCAAGGGGAAACGCGAATTCTATTCTGGCACCCGGAAAACAATTCATCTGGCTAAAAAAGATCAAAGTCCACATGAATGTTGGAGCTTTTGGAATAACAACTCTGATTGGAACAACACTCTTTTGTGCATTGATTTAAAAGCCAAAGGCACGAAAAACACCCAAAATACACTATACTTACAGAAAGGATCTCAAAACCACTCAACCGAGATGTATGTCATAAACATAAACGATGATGTGTCCATAAACCACTCAAATGAAACCCGAGCTTGGAGGGCTGCCGAAATTAAAGCGTGGAGAACATACAAAGAACAAGGGCATCCTATGAACATCATGTATTCCTGCGTGTGCGAATACATATCCTATCATTTGCTTAAGTGGAATATAATCATATTAGGTATTTATAAAATTTTAAGGACACGGAAAATCAATTTTTCGATCTGTTACATCAAACTTTATTGCGTATCTGAGGAAATGTAAAGATCTTCCAAAAGGCTCAAGGTATCTAATTTCGGACGAAAATTATGATATAAGTCCCTAATTTGCCGGCAATGATCCCATATAATCAAATTTTTTTTAGTTCTTCCCTTCGACCAACAAGCGCACAAAGGAAGCCGCTGCAAGGTAGGGCAGGCAATTGTGGCTGTGCTCTGTGGCCCGCGCGCAGTGCTGGTGGCCGGGGTGAAACGTTGAAAGTCACTTGCCTTGTGAATTGGCTGCTTGGTAGTCCGTTCCAAACGGGTCCGGACTTCCTTGACAGAGTTGGAAAACTCGGGCGCATCACGACCAGACGGTGTGAGCGCCAGCAGCTCTACCAAATCTGGATCGCTGCAAAACATAAGACGTCGCCGTCGAAGTCTGCGCCGCGAATTGCGCAGGCCCACGGCCCAAGCCGGGTACAGTACAGCGAATTATTGCAAACATGCTTTGCGTGTTTCGGGAGGGGACGGCCACCCAGACTTCGACGTCCCAGGCTGGAGCATAGGGTAGCTCCAAACAACAAATTTCCCTACCCACTCACAGCCATAAATTACTATGTGGCACTGTTTGTCCTGCGCAAGGCTCAAAGCGCATGGACAGATCCACGAAACAGCCTTTGTCAATTTGCATGCTTCACAGCCCGAACAAACAGACAACGGCATCTTCGAGGCTAAAAGAAATCAAGTTGCAGCAAGGCTCCTTCAAAGTGCCCCATGTGTCTGTCCACGCCCTGGCTGACCCTTGAAAGGCAGCGAGGGCTTGCGGTTGTGGCCATTGACCATAGCATTGAGCCGCCGGCGCCCTCGCATCAGGCTGTCTTTCGTGCCTGCAACTCTTGAAAGGAACTTTGATTGCTAAACTCAACTGCAAATTAACATAATTGCCAAACTTGAGCTCTGTGGCCAGGCTCTGTGTCCGGGTCTTGTCCTCCTCTTGTCCTTGTCTTGGCCGCGCGGGTTTCCTGAACTCTGTGGCCTGGCTCTGTGACCGGCTCTGTGTCTGGGTCTTGTCCTCCACTTGTCCTTCTCTTGTCCTGCTGTTGTCCTCCTCTTGTCCTTCTTTTGTCTTCTCGCTCACCAACCCTGGGCACACTGACTGGCCGCGCCCCTGAACTCTATGGCCGGGCTCTGTGACCGGGTCTTGTCCTCTCTTGTCCTGCTCTTCTCTTGTCTGTCTTCTCTCGTGGCCGAACAATCAGCGATGTCGATGCCGACAAAGATCATTGATAAGGCAATGGGCTAGGTAGGGCATACCAAGAAATCATTTTCGAGTAAAATTGGTCCCAAGAACTGGGTTTGAAATTGGGGTCTATGCTGGTATAATTGCACCTTCTATCTTCAGACATGACTTTGGATATGGCATCCTTGATCTTCTTGCTAGCAAAAACTGCATTGGGACTGATCCTGATCATGTGCTTCATCAATGTTGACGTGGGGCCACCAAGCCATTCCTCATTGGGCGCACTCTTCCATGTCACACCACCTTGGGATTTTTTAACAGCTGGGAAAGACCATTGCTCCCAGCATCATCCATGAACTTCAGGAAGCACCTTTGGAGATCCCCCACACCAACACTGGGATCTGGATGCAACCTGCTCATAGCCCACAGAGAATGATATACAAAAACAAGAGTTGGTCAGCATGAGTTTCCCAATCTGTGCGCTGTGTGATGGCTGTGCTTTGCAGTCTGTTGACACGCTGATTGGCTGCTATGTTGTGCTTCTGCATTGTGAATGCTTCTTGCCAAGTTCGGGTTTGCAGCCACTGGCTCAAAGGCACAAGGGAATTGCAGCCACCAAGTACAAGCGCCAGCGTCAAAAATGTGAAAACTTGTAAAACAACAACAGCAACTGTAACACCCTCATCAGTAAACAATCTCTCCCTCAACAATAGCCAACAAAACTCAACAATAAAACAGCATTTTTCCTAGCAAACCATTAGTTAAATAGTAGTAATTTTAAACTATCAGTTCAACAAAAACTGACTATTAGCTTAAAAAATTGTCTACAAAAGTATAAAGTAGTTAAAAACAAAAATGGCTACTAGTGAGGATTTTGTCTTTTAACTGTTTAGAACATGGTCTAACCCGATCCATTGGGTTAGTCTGTGAAACAAAGTGAAACCTAGTTGACTTACAGCACTTTTGAAAAGCGCGAACTTTTCTCTCAAAACCGAAAAGGGCTGCAGGCGAGTTGACTGTAAGTGAGATGTCAGGGATACAGCAAGTGATGATCACACCCCAGGTCATCATCCTGCCCCCCTACACATCACACAATAAATCACAACAGCATCAACAAATTCAAACAAAAACCATTTCACCGCAACCTCAACAAAACTCACAAAACGCCCACAACAAGTCACAAAACAAACAAGCATCACAACATCACACACCCCAGCACACAACTTCACACAAATTCACAAAACAATTCACCAAACTTGCTCGCCTCTACCAAGCCCCAGCATTTCATGAAGCATTTAATGGAACTCTCCCCTAAACTTTATAAAAGATTTAGGGGGAAGTATTTTTAACCTCGCATCCATCCTACGATACTATGCATATTCTCCGCCCATCCGGCCAATGGCGGAGGTTAGGGCCTCAATGCTTTTGGTGGCCAATTGTTTTCAACCTCCTTTCAAAGGAGGTGCGCACATAGGTGGGAATTGGGGGAAGGTTGTCGCGAGTGCAACTCCCGGCCTCGACGACGCCCGCCCCGCACGAGGATACCCACTGCTTGTACCGGGCCGCGCCGGCTTACCGGACACGACCTTCGGCACAGTTGTGCCTCTGTGGCTCTGTCCACGCCGTCGCTCCGGTCTTCGGCCTCAAACCCCTCTCGGTAGGGGTAGTAAACCCCAGCTGCCGGGGACCCAGCCGGGGCTGTGTTCCTCGTCGCCCATGTCGCGCTGAACCTCAGGAGTTGTTGCAACGCCATGGCTGTTCTCCGTTCTGGATGTTCTTCGTTTGGCACTATCTCCTTTACTTTTTCATTGATGGTTCAGTCTGCACAAATGGGCACGTGGCTTCTGGAGTGGACTTCGTTCAGCTTTACTCGGTTGGTGCCCCTTGCGCCCTTTTGCAAGAGAAGATGGATCTCAGGCGGGCATCCTGCTCACCAGCGCTGTGACTCCGTTGGAATTGCGCTTGGCAACTCCTGTGCAGTTGGACACATGGACTGAGATCAAGTCTTCCTTAGCTCCCCATGCATTCAGTTGGATATCTTCAGAGGCATTTAGTATGTGAGACATTTTTTCATACCAAGAGCTGTGTTGAACTATCAAGACCTGTGCCCTTGTACCATTTTGTTTGAAGTCATTGCGATGCCCGGCTTCGGTAGTGAACTGGATGCTCCAGGGTCGCGCCGGAGAAGACCAACCACCAACCACCAACCAACCAACCAACCAACCAACCAACCACCAACCACCACCAACTACCAACCACCAACCAACCACCAATTATCCGCTCCTGTCTGGTGAAGTTGTTAACATGTGGGGTTATCTGGTCCCATAATTTGATTTTCCCAATGGTTAAAATGCTCTTTTTCCCTGACTTGGGAGGGAACTTAGCATCCATATTGGTCGGCATGTGGGATGTTCTTCATTGAATCGTAGATAGTGATTGGGGATTGGTCTCGAGGCTTCTGTCGCCATAAAAGCACACTTGCTCTAGTCTGTCAATCTGTCCAAGCATACAAAAGCATTTTTTTTGCCCGATGAGGCTTGCATAATCTAACGCCCGAGCCTTCTCTGCTGCCAAATGCTCGTTTGCAAGCGACATGCGACACACCTTGAAAGGAAGGACTCTGAGTCTGATGACACTACGTCGGACAACATGCAATGCGTAATTCAAATAGCCACAAAGTACCAATCCAGAGCTTGATTGAATGGAAATGAAAACTGCGATCATATCACAGAATTGGCATCTATTGAAGCCTGCTCTACCTTGCTGGATTCTGGATCGTCCGGAGCTCGCATCTCCTGAAATGCAAGGAGCAGTTAGCCACTCTTTTTGTTAGCAATGTCAGCAATGTTCAATGGTGGCTTGAAGGGCACATTTCATGTGTCCCGAGTCCCTCTTCCAAATCCCCAACAGCCAACTGAACCCTGTGGTTCTGCCAGGGTAATTTTGCACACGGCACAGCCTCTTGCCAGTACTTGCACGAACGCATTCAAAAGGCAATAAAATGGTCTTGAATTTCAGAAGTCTCTCTTCTTTGACAAAAATACATCAACACTCTCCTCGTTTACGAATCTAAGAACCTCTTCATAAACGCTCTGGTTCTCGAAGAAAACCAGTTGTGCTCGCGCAACGCCCCCCGAGCGCTCCACGAGGTCCACCAGCGGCTGCAGGACCTCCGCGCTCGGGGGCTCCGAGGCCACCAGCGTACGCTCCGAGGCCTCCGGAAGTGTAACGTCTTCACTCGGCTCAGGTCTTGAAACACCTTTTCTCGTTCCTTTTCTAAAAAAGGGGTCGCTTCGGAGGGTTTTTTTCCACTGCGGCGACGTCGTTTCTGGACCAAAAAAAGAGTTGCTCGGAACACCGGCAGTGCCCTGTCCCGCGTCCTGGAGCTTCTCCAAGGTCTCGGAGCTCGGCCGAAGCCGCCGCCACTCGGCCAGGGCCGAGGCCAGAAACCTCGAATTGAAGCACTGGTTTCCTATGGAAGATGAGGAAACAAGATGGAAAGGAAATTGAAACAACAAGATGAAACAAAAAAAGCAAAGCTTCAGAAAGTCGAAATCAATGGGAACATCTTTTGACAAAGAAGTTGCGGGCCCGAAAACAAACCTTTTCCAAGCCGTCGGAATCAGGTCAGAATCAGGTTTGGGATAAGTTGTTTTGTCTTAGCATTTGCTTCCACTTTCTCTAAAGACGCAACTACTTGCAAATTCTGATCACTGCTGCCGTATAAACCCTATCCTTCTGGCAAAGAAGCTTTCACTAACAACTGCATAGATTGGAAAATCCTAGAACCACAATCAGCAGCTCCCCTTACACTGCAAATACGACGGGGGTTCCTTACCACCTGTTGAGCTCATTCTTCGGCTGAGTGCGAAACCGTGACACCACGGCCACACCTGAGAGGTCGGTGGCTGTCGCTGCCAGCTGGTGCAGGGGCACTGCCTGCAATCTCAACTTCTTGTTTCTACGTTCGCTTCTTGTTACTAGTAACAAGTGCCACCTAGTAGTAACAACAAGCTATTAGAATTAAAATAAAATAGAACTTAAATTCATAGCTTCTTGTTACTACTAGTATGGCACTTGTTACTACTAGCATGGCACTTGTTACTACTAGTATGGCACTTGTTACTACTAGTAAGGCACTTGTTACTATTAGTAAGGCACTTGTTGCTACTAGTAAGGCACTTGTTACTACTAGTAAGGCACTTGTTACTACTAGTAAGGCACTTGTTACTACTAGTAAGGCATTTGTTACTACTAGTAAGGCACTTGTTACTACTAGTAAGGCACTTGTTACTACTAGTAAGGCACTTGTTACTACAAGTAAGGCACTTGTTACCACAAGTAAAGCACTTGTTACCACAAGTAAGGCACTTGTTACTACTAGTAAGGCACTTGTTTCTAATAGCTTCTTGCTACTACTAGTAAGGCACTTGTTACTACTAGCGATGCACTTGTTACTAGTAGCAATCTTCTGACTGAAGGACATGCCATCTTGGACTTTTTTCATGCGAAAGAATGATAACACTTCATGTGGAATTCCACCCCTTGGCCAACACTTTGCACCAGTTCGCATTTGCAAATTCCGCTTCTAGATTTACAAAAGCAAATGGCTTCACCGCAGGAGATGCGCCAAGTGGAGAGGAATGGTTTCTACATGCTTCATGCGCTTTCGCCCACCTCAGGCTGCGCTTTTGGCTTTGCTTTGGGCTTGGCTTTAGCTTTGGCCTCCAAGTGCCCGTGTGCGAACGTTAAAACACCTATGAGCTTGAAGCGTGAGCTATCCTGCGTCCACTGCCCTTACAATAATCAAGTAGGCGCCTACTGAATTCAGTCAGGGCAGGCCAAACCAAAAAGACAAAGAAAAGAAAAACACACATTAACAAGAAGCTACTAGGGGCTCCTGGCATCGCTACTAGGAGCAAGAACGCTACTAGGGGCTCCTAGCCGTACTACTAGTAACAAGAAGCTAGTAGGTTGGAGGCCATTGCTTTTTTTGGCAGAAGCTTCCTTCTCAGGTCCCTAAAGCTCAGCCGTGCCCGACTCGCCTGCTGCTCGGAATCCGAGTCCGAGGAGATCTGCCCTTTCTTCCTTTTCAGCGCCTAGTCGAAAGGAGTCCACCATTCTAGTGAATGCTTGTCCCCTCCCACCTCTGCCAAGCCTTCTCATCAATAAAAGTGCCACGTCTTCTTTCCCAACGTTTCCCTAAAAACCTAGGAACCAAATGATTAGTGCGAGCGCTTCTTCAAGGAAGCTCCCCGCTTCCGACCTATCCTGCGTAGGTAGTAGCATCTTAGTAGCTAGTAGCCACCTCTCCCTACTAGCTACCTAGCTACCTCGACTCGGCCTCCCCGCCGGGCCAAAAATAACACTCTCTTTGGAAAGCGAAGGTGAAATTCCTGGGCACCTTCTTGACGTCGAAGGAGTTGAAGTTGATGAAACCCGACATGGCGGACGTATGACGGACGTCGTGACCAGCGGATTGGCTATGGTGACGTGATGTTTGTCAATCTGACGGTGCGGTGGAGCAGAAAAGTTGTGATCATGGACGATCTCTGTATCACCGAAGGTTCTGCGGGTGATCTGTGATTCGCTTTGGACAAACAAAGATCTCTACAACAAAAAATTGCACATCTTGGTAACCTTTTCTGTACTCATGTGTTTCACAAGCTTTGGGCAAAGCGTGCCATGCCACTCAGGGTGGAAGCCATCCCAACATTCGGAAGCTCTTCTTTGGAAAGAAAGTGCCAGCAAACAATAGATGGACAGTGAATAGGTTGGGTTGATCTTTGCGATGATGGGTGGATAGGTTTGGGTCTTGTCTTCTCCAAGAGATGAACGTCAATTGACTGTTTGGTCCTTCGGGGCAGTGACTGCCGGAAGCATGAGGCTTGCAGGCACAAGTATTTCAACGCTGTCAGCATTTTCACTTGTCCCGTGCTCCCTTTCTTTTCTCATTTTCCCTGATCAGACTGGCCAGCAGGGCACTCCCAGATTCCGATGTGAGGAAGCTCCAACGACATCCCCACATGTGCGCAGGCCAGACACTTGCTTGTCTCTCGGCGGCTTTAAACCTTTGAGGCGATTGAAATTCGTGCAGCTTGTCGAATGGCACCCTCACACAAGCATGCCTTGAATCCTCAGGGGCGCGCCATTGAGTCCTCGGCAAAGCGCAGATTGCAATGCGTAGATCCAAAGAATATCTTCTTGGAGATGCAGCTTCAACTGACTCAGACTGAAAGGCCCTTTCGGGTCAACAAACTCAGCAGTGTAGTTCTGTGCTTAGTCTACTTACCCCTAACATCCCCTAACCCAAACGCTTTTCGTTTAAAAGAACCATTCCGTACATGCAGTGTCATTGCAAAAACGGCCTGCAAAGAGCCAACCAGCGACCACCTCACCAACGTTTCAGCTGTTTTGACCCCCTCCCACCAGATTGAAATTGTTTCAGCTGTTCAGCACTGTGTCCAACTGAAATCCAGGACAAGCGATCTTCAGCGATTCAAAGCTCAAACTGCAGCCGTCCAAAGGTCAATTCACTCCTCTTTTTCATGTCTTCTGCCCATCCAAATAGGCGCTCGCGGCTCCAAACTCGGCTGGGGCCCTGGCGCCACTTGGTGCGTTGTCAACGCCGGGAAGGTGGCAGCAATTGGTGAGATGCCTCCCACGTCACAGTTCGCTGGCTTCGTCAGAGAATCTGGGAAGGGAATGGCAAACAAAAGAACGAAGCAAAAAGGGACTAGATTCCATATTGAATTGATTTCAAACAAATAAACCTTTCTAATGTAAACAAAAGGAGGGATATCTATTGAAAGGATTCCATATTGAGGTGGTTCTTTGAAGGCACGAACACTTGTGGTGCTCCAATCGTACGGTCCAAGGATTCCAAGTTTCGGGCCTTGTCCGTATCCAATCTTGGCGTGTGTGACGTCTCAAGTGGTGTCTAAATAACATGATACCTCTTGTCAAACCACCATGCAGGTCGGAACATTCAAAGCTCTCTTTTCAGGCCCCTCTGCGCAGTCTTCTTTGTGCAAACAAATCCAGCGGAAAACGTCACACTGGGCGGACCAGGTTCAAGAAGCTTCGGACGCCTCAAAACGGAAAAAGAGTCTAGTTGGTGAAACGATTCCCAAGGAAGCTTCTTGTAGCGATCAAAGACATAGTAAAAAGCTTCTTGTTTCTAGTAGCGATGGCCTCCAACCTAATAGCGATGGCCTCCACCTAGAAGCCAAGACCGGCTTGAGGAACTTCTTGGAGTTGCAAAGTGTAGACAGAACCTTCTTGCGATGGGGACTGGTTGACCCAATTCAAACATTTTCCGGCAAATGGCCTCTGTTAGAAAAGCTGTGCTCTAACCATTTCAATTCAAGCTGTTTTGGCCAATGAGTTCGGACACACCTAAGGACCCTGGTGTTGGAACACACACAGCTCTTGTTAATGTTTGACATTTGGAGCCCTACAAACCTTGCCATTGCCAACTGTGCCCCAGAACAAGTTGTTTTTCAGTCTCGGACAATTGCAAAGATGCACACACGAAATCAATTACAATCCAGTGACCATACCTTTTCTTATCTAGGATATCTAGGCGCGTGCGCCAATGTTGTGCAAGTCTCTGGGGCCACCCATCTATCATACTGAGTGGACCACGCTGTTCAGAAGGGGTTCAAACCAAACAAATTTCCAGCCCCCAACCTGCCCGAAAGGGAGTCTCTGTGTCTCATGTCTGCAAACGTGGCGTTCTTTTTCTACCCAGCTTTGCAAGCTGGCGAAGTCGCGAATAAAACTCTTCAATCTCTTTGCCCGAACCGTAGTTTCATCTCTGACAAGGCACTGATGTTTGGCGCCTTGCGTTGGCCCTGTTCCTCAATCTTTGCCCACGGTGAGCTTGTGCATGAAATGATTAAAAACGAATGTAAACACCCACACACACAAAATTTGAGGAGGACTTGGTCGAACACCCATAGTATCAGGAGGATGCATGAAGAAGTACAAATACTTAAATACAAAGCTAGGACATAGCCTTGCGGAAGAAAGGATTGTTGTCTCTTCCCCTAGAGTGGACACATCTCCTGTGCACATGTCATCAGAAGGTGAGGGGCAACGGTTCCCGCTCCTCTAGCAACATTTTGGCTTCCCCCGACTCCACGCCAGCCGACTGAAGGATCTTCATCCAACCTCAGCGTCATTCTTGCAAGTCTGGGGTGGCTTCGTCAAAACTAACTGATTAGGCAGCCCTTATGGGTGTTCCAGGTTTGCGGTACCGCCTTCCGAGAACGTCTGGAGTAGGGCAACAGTTGGTTCTGTCTTAGTTAAGTCTTAGTTTTCATCTTTGGAGAGGATGCTGCATCGTCTTTGGTCCGAATCTAAGATAATCTAACCACCTCCATGCCGGTCCGATACCTCTAAGATGGTTACTCGATCATTTCATTTCCCAAGCTGCTCTCCCAGCTGAGGATGGACTCGGCTCCCAAGGTAGATAGGAACAGCTGCTCCACCTGACACTGAGAACCACCAAGTCACCAAGTGACTAGATGTTGGAACTCACGAATCCCTAGGCTTGCCAACAGAACGTTCTCTTTTTTCTCTTCGAGGTGATTTCATTGGAAGGCACCTTTTCGCAATGCTGCACAAATTGAAGGATGGAACCATGCCGAGATCAACTGTTGCAAAAAAGGATCAAAACAAAACCGTCCCGTAGAATCCAACTCTGCTCCAACATTCACCAACCTGCACCGCCCTGCCATTCTGGAGAAAACCTGCAACCCTGAAGTCCGTCCAAATTCGGATCATGTGTCCCACCACTGCAGTTGCTTCAAGCCTCTATTACAACAACCAATGCTCGAGTTTAAACAAAGGACCATTGGGGATCACAAATAAAAGACAAATTTGCGAAACAAACATGCAAGAAGGCCAAACAGACTTCCTGAACTTGAAACAAAGCTTTTGGCACCAACACACTGGTGCGCCCTGCACGACATGCGCGCCTCCTTCCAAGAAAAATTGTTTTCTTGAGGCACTACTTGAGCCTGCGAAAAAGAGCAGAAAAGGCGCGCTAGAACGTCAGTTTCCAAGACGGAATATTGAACTCATAAACTGAGATCGCGAGTTGTCCCTGTCAAGAAGCCAACAGGGTGGTATCAGCTGGTTAGATCAAGGTGCAAAAGAAGAAATACGGCAAACACACGATTCAATATGGCGCACGCCGGCTAGGCTGCCTATCGTCTAACCCTCTCTTGTGCAAAGCTTTGTGGGCTTGGCCTCCGATGAAGCGCCAGATCCCTCAATTTCGCCCATAGCTTCAAGGCAATCGGTCCAGGTCTCCCGAAAAGCAATGGCTTGTGGGTGCTCCTCCGGGATCCCCTCCATGCACCAAACTCGTATTCTTCTTTTTCGTGGACACGTTTTCACTTCACTTTTCGGGGTCCAGTCGTGCACAAAACATCTTAACAAACACTTATCAGCACGAAACCAACCGCACACTGACTTTGGAAGTGTCAGGGTAGGCATGGACGAGGCTGCTTTGAGGTTCTGGAGGTCAATTTGAGGTGATACCTTGCTGGTTCTTTTGGTTGAGGCTGGATTGGGTGGTTTTCAACTAACTTTTTCCCCAAACAGTGTGGCCACACGAGGGGTTCTTACGGTACGTGTTACCGGGTGTTTGATCGGAGGGGTGCGAAACGTGACCGGCCTTCATTCGCCTCGAGATCTTCGTGCATTTCGGCTGTGCAGGCTTAGGGATGCTTGGCGCGAGCGGGTGCTCTTCGAGACTGCGCTCTCGTTGTGGCGCCGCGCGCGTTTTCGGACTTGGTGGATCACTTTTCCTGACCGGCGCAGGGGAAACCTCGTGTTTTGGACATGGTGGTGGCCTATTTCGTGGCAGACGCAGTGAATCCTGACTTTTGGACATGTCGCTCGTTTTCAGAAGTCGCAGGAAATCTCAAACGAAATGTGTGTTGTGGCAACTTGATGTTGTCTTTGGGCGTGCTCTTGCTGCGAAACACCATGGCAGGGCAGCACGAATGTATATCTTGTTGTGCAAATTTCGTAGCAGGCGCAGCACTTTGTGGACCTTTCAGCGCAGATTGGCACGCGCAGCAAGTGCTCTCATATGTGTGCTCTGCTTGCTCTTATTTGAGTGCGCCCTCATGCCTGTGCTTCTACATATAGTTTTATCAGATCTCTAGACATCTCCCATGTGCATACTGGACTATGAAGGTTGCCTCGAGAACTGTTCAGGCTAAACATGTATGGAAACACTCCAATCAAAACTTGGAATGTCCCAGAAAGCAGCACATATTGGTGAACACATGCATACTAACTGAACCGAAGCGAACCGACACTTGGTGAATTCAAGAAATGATGAACACCTGAATTCACCAGGTTTTCTCCGGATTCTGACCAAGTTTCAGTACTTCACCAAGACTGCATTTCAATCGTGCTGCATTTCACTCGTCAGACATTTTCAGATATGCTTTCCAACACACCAAAAACATTTATTCATGACCAGACTCATGAAACTGATACCGCCATCAAATTCAGAACTTGAAGACTCTAAACGTGTTTCTTTTTTGAAGCTCTTTGATCGAACCTCAGACTCCCGACACATTGCAGGTCCTTGCCCAGGGTCTGTTCTGATGCATGGGCGGCTCTACGGGACAAAGGCTCTGCTTCATCGTGGCGGCCCATGCTCAAAAGGCACCTCAAGTAACATCGGGTGGGTTCGCAACATTCGAAGGCCAGTCAGTGTCAGTATGGTAACCTTTTGTTGGGATCAACACCCAAGCACAAGCCGGGATGCACACAACTCACCACAATGATGCACCCAATGTTCTTTTTGAACCTTGAAGAATAAGCCCAAAGACAAATATCCCATAATATCCCCAATATCGCAATCCCACATGCTCTGCTATGTCCTCTGTACGTTGGCCGACAAAGACCCACTTATCTAATGAACACAAGGTTGGGTGATGGAAAAGCTGTCCAAGGTAGATCTGGCGTCGACATGCCTGCTTCTACGCAAACGCTGACATCGTTGGAACACGCACCATTGCCAGTCTGTTTTAGAGACTCCTCCCTTGCGAGGAGAGTAGAGGGATTCGGGGCCCGAAAGTGGAGAGAACGTCGAAACCTTTGAGCCTTTGGGACTAGCGACCTTAGAAACCTTGGGAGCCTTGTGGGAACCTTTGGGGGAATGGGTTTTGGAGCTGCTCCGGACTGCTCCGAGACCTCTACTCTGGCTGAAGACCTCAAAGCATTCTGTTGGGAAAAAGAAACGATCTCCTTGTCAATGCGACTGGCGCCTGGCCAAGTTGTTGACGAACACCAGGGTCGTTGGATGGTCCACACCGATGGTCTGCTCGTGAGACTCAACAGCCTCGGAGCTGAGCGACGCGTGCCGCAGAGTGAAGCAGTTTGTGCAGCCTTTTGACACTTCGAACAGAGCTCCATCGAACGTGTTCGCAAAAAGAACAAACGCACAGAAAATCAATCCAGGAAGTCCATGCAAGATTGCCAAAAGTGCAACCCCCAAATCCCCCCAGTCTACCCCTGTACTCTGCTGCCACGCAGCTCGCCGCAAGAGCGACTCCGCTCGCAGGTGGTCTCCCATGGCGCTGAAGCAATTTGCCAGATTGTTCACTGAGATCAATGTGTCTGGATGGTTTGCACCCAACACACGCTCTCGAGCTGCCAAGCATGCCTGGTTGAAAGCCTCCGCCTTGGGAAACGGATCGGGTTTTCTTCGCCTTTCGAACCCCCTCTCGCGCAAAAAGGACTGTTTTGTGACAAAACGGTTTCCAAGACGAGACCTGCAGACCGGCCTTTTGGTAGTGGCCCATCTCAACCTGGCACAAAGCGAGCTGGTTTTCCGCTGACAAGGTGGTGGGGTGGCTTTCACCCAGAGCCCCTCGGCAGCAGTCCAAACATCTTTGCACCATTGGCTCTGCTCTGAAGGGATCCACTCCGATGAGAAGGCCAGCGAGGTTGTGGAGAGTGGTCAATGTGTCCTTAGTATCCCAAAACAAAAACATTGCACTTATCCATCTCGAAAGGAAATTCCTATCGAGGAAAATTATAGACACACGTAAGGTATGTGTGACACATGTCCGTAGATCCATTCAGAAAAGGATACCCTAAGGACATATTGACTCCTAAGATACCTACGCCAAAGAACATTTCTGTCCAAGCCAGCTCTAAGCTCTAAACAAAGTAAAACGACATAGAAAAGAAAAAACAGTTAGAACAAATTGCACTTTTGAAAGCTTGGTTTCTGGGTGGTCTGTGCCCAGGATGTGCTCTTGGCGCTCCAATAAGCGACTCATCAAGGCCTCAGCTTCTGGAGCTCGACCCATCTCGGCAAGAAGTGTTGCCAAACCTTAGTTTCATTGGAATTCGAGATAGCTAGTATAGTGGTAAGAATGAAGTAAGCTAGGTAAGATATGCTTCGCTGTCGCTTTGCTTGCGTTCATCCTGATTTTGTTCATGAGCACAATCTTGAAAACCGTGCATTTAAATAGGGGTGCCAGCCTGATGCTAGCACCAATGACAAGCAACAGTGAAACAAGCAATGACAAGCCCCGCAATGGCTACTGTGACAACAAACACAGCACACATGAGAATGATCAAGGAGAAGCCACAATGGCATTCGCAATGACATTGCCACCACCAATAGCATGTCACAATGATACCAAGCAGTGAACCAACACAACACGGAATGTGAAGACAGCATCAATGACATGCTGAACTGATGACAAATCAACATGACAGCACAACAATGACAATTTGACCGCACCACTAAGTTGCGGCACACCTTTGCCAAGTGAAGACATGAAACTGCTAAGCCATTGCAAAGTTTCGGGATCCTCTGCCCCGCACTTGCGCTCCAGCGCCTCAAGCGCTTGTTGCATCAAGAGCTCCGCTTCTTGGAAGTGGGCCATTCGCCAAAGGCACCCAGCCAAGCATCTTCGAGCCCCCCAGGTGAGATCGTCATCAGCACCCAAGATACGCTCACACGCTTCAACACATCGACGGTGAAGCTTCTCTGCATCGTTGAAGCGTCCCATGAGTTCGAGGCATTCTGCAAAAGACAACGTGCAATTCAAGGTGTCCGGGTGTTCCTTTCCTTTGCTGAGCTCTCGAGCAGACAATGCTTCTGAAAGAAACGATAAGGCTTCTTCGTACATTCCACGGCAGAGTAGAGCTTGCCCCAGGCGCTCTTTTGCATCCATCTTGACTTCAGCGTTCTCTGCACTCGCCTCACGCTTGCGAAGAGTATCCACAAGTCTGGCTTTGGCATTCTCAATGCCACTTTCACCTTCCACACGCAGTACCACGCAACAACGCTGTGGCTGTCCCGGTTCATTCAGCAGCTTGTTTGCCAAATTCCGGCCAGGGGCCTTTCCAGCTGCTTTCATTTCTGGTGTCTGCCGTTCTGAAATGTCATAAGCATTCGCAGCATCGACCAGAAGCGGAATGCAGAACCTTGGCTCTTTCTGCTTCTTTCCTTGAAGCTTGTTAAACAACTAATCAAAAGAGGCTAGTAACTAGTTGAACGCAACATCAAACAAATGCAACCAGCACTGATCTAAGTGTGCCAACTAATCATGCAAAAAGAACCCGGCTCGTGGTGGATACTCCTTCTGCACATAGGCTTCCCCTTTCTCTGTGTGGTCTCGCCGCATCATGTTGCGAAAGTTGTTGTCCAGCAGCTCGTGTCGGTCCTTCCACTCATTGGGTGGCTTTGGGACGCAAAAGATTCCAGCGCCCCACCAGGCATTGGCACTGGGACCCTCCGTTTTCAGAGAGGCCCAAATCTCGGCCGCCTCCTTCTCGAGCGCCGTGATGTTCCGAAAAGGGAGCTCGCCTTGGAGACCCAAATGAAAAATGGAAAAACAACCTTTGAAAGTAAAAAAAACTTAGTCGCGAACTACACAAACTTGGTCAGTTTTTGCAGTGCATCTGGGTCACCCGTGTAGTGGAAATAGACCTTTGGATTTGGCAAAGATGACAAGTCCATGGCATCTTTCCACACGATGATCCCGGTCTTCAAATGCTTCCATGCGTAAAAACTAGAGATAGTGTCACTGTCTTCGTATGCAGCTGACTTGAAGATTCCACCTTCTCGGTACCTGAGTTGCAGGGCATTTCTTTCTTTATTGTCTTTCTCTTTCAATTTTCCTTTTAACTTTTTCCTTAGTGTTTTTCTTGCTTTCCAAGATGTCAGCACAATGGAAATACATCTCCATGTATGGTGCGCCTTTGGACGGAACCTCCACATCATTCTTCAAAGCTTATCCATTGTTGCATCCTTTTGGGGTTGACACTGAACGCGTTCAGGCACAAGGTCTCAAAGTACTCCACCAAACTGTCTGTTTCCATCGTTGCGCCATGAGAGATCTAGCTCAGAAACGAGGAGAAGCCAAGAGTTGGATCAAAGGGGACTAAAGGAACTTGACCAAAAAAACCTCGCCTACCCTGAACACCCTACAAACAAGCTTGGTTAAGCAAGCCTTGAACAGCAAACACAATCAGTTGCGTGTTTCACACAAGGCTCAAATCACAGAAATGCACTAGCATCTCAATGTTTTGGGTAGCTCTTGCATGTGCCCATTCAAACACACTTGATGAAACATGCGCGTAGTAGATGGACTCCGTGCTTGTTGAAAAGTTGACAGGTGAGTTGCGAAACAGCAAGGTGATATGCCTGGTGTGTGAATCAATCAACTGAGTGCCTCTGAACTCGTATTGAGATCAGCGTGCTGCAACGATACAGGCGATATGTTCTAAGCATAGGAAATGCCAATAACTGCTCAAAGGGTTGGGCCTTAGAATCCTCCTGTCCTCGCTGTGTAACTTTTGTTAGGCATCAAATGAAGTGAATATGGCACACAAAGTTACACACTCAAGCAATCCGTAAGCGGAGACGAAACCTTCGTTTGTCTCCTCGTTTCTGCTCGTTTCTCCGTTTCGCCGCCTCGCCTCTGTAGATCCTTTGAGAGCCTACAAAAAACACCGGTCTCTTTGCCAGCCTTGCGGAGCGCACTTCTGTTGCAACGAAGACTCAATCACTGTTGCGAATTCCAAGCGTGCTCACTCCAAAGAACCCCAAGTGCAGCCCCGAAGAGACTAGTGCTCAGCTGTGCATCTTGGTGCTCAGCTGTGTGGGTTGAAAGTCGAAACTCCAGAAAGGCCAGGGATTGCATAAGTTGGACAACTTCGGTTTGCCGCTGAAAGAACATGGAACCTTTTTTCATTTCCACCACTTCCAATCACGTCGCCTTTTTGTCAGCTTTGGTGGCCCACCTCTGGTCTTCTGGTCTCGTGCTCAAAGGCTCTTGACTGGCGATCGTCTGGCCTGAACCGACTGGCCACAAACAGGTGGACCAGGAGACTCTTGCCTCATTTGAGTTAACTACTTTTGAACTGCACCTTACCGTGACTGTTTAGGGCTTCAAATCACCTGAGAAGGTAGTAGTAACAAGAAGCTACTAGCACCTCCTGGCCTTACTACTAGGAGCAAGGACGCTACTAGTAGCTCCTGGCCATACTACTAGGAACAAGAAGCTACGAGGAACAAGGGCATCGATCATCTTTCGAAATAGATGGAGCCTTCGGTCGGCTGTCAACGTCAACATGCCACTGTTGCATGTGGCCAGTGGCAACTAATGCTGGCAGAAATAGAAGCAGCTAGAAGAATAGCAACGGACTGTATTCTGACCTACTGTACAGTCTGAATTTACACTCTGACTCACATTTACACTCACTTGGAAGACTACTTTCCTTCACGAATAGGAATAGGGGGTTTTCCACTTCCGTATGATGTGTTCGTCACTACTGGGTTCCTTCCTCTCTCCCCCTTCTTTCTCGCTCGCAGGCTTGACATCTGCAAGGTGAAAAATCGACTCTTTGCTGCTTGCAATTCAATCTGGCATACTGCTCGTGGATTTGCGTGGGCGAGACCGGGAACGCATCACCCTAAAAAACAAAACACACCAAGTTGTTGAAGCGCCAAGGACCTCTGAAACAGAGCCGTCTCGCTCTTCCAACCACCCCGCCCACCCTGAGCCCACCGGCCCGGGCGTTGGATGCATTTCACCTAGGAGGACTTGAGGGGGAACTGAGCTTGGTGCATGTCTCTCCACTACGATCTCATGTCCGACCAAGTACAAAAGCCTCTTGCAATTCTTTTCCAATGGGAATTCCTCCTGGAGATAGCACTCCTGGTTGAATCTTCTGTTGGGAGATGTGCGACATTTTGCGACACAAAATTCAAACTAAGCACAGCAGAAAGAAGAACGAACATAGCTTCTGGGCTTCTGGAAGAAGCGCGATTTGATCACTGCATGCCCAGATATGGTGCGAAAACTGGTCCAGTTGACAACTAGGCATTGCTGCGAGTGGCTCGCGCAAGGTGAAACCGGTGTCGCACTCTGCGAGGGACCTCTGATGATCAAGAAGTTCCCCATGTCGGTTGAGTTGCTGGATGTCATATTCACGATCCGGCTAGGTGAATGTCCTTGATTGATTCCAGCCAAAGTGGTATGCTGTCCGTACAATCAAGAAGCCCACCAATGCACCAGTGGAGAAAATCAAGGAGCCAACCGTTTGATTCTCCAAGGTCACGAGGGTCTAAAGTTCCCAAGCCACAAAAATCATTGCGATGGGCCCACCCAGAATGACGACCAGAAGATTTCGCAAGAGCTCTGTCAGCAGGCATCGGCCTTTTGTTCTCAAGTACAAGGAACACCCCAAAGCCAATAGGTCAGGTATCTGATGATGAAGATCGAAAACACCACCTCTCTTGTCTCCTCATTGTCAACACGTAGAAGACTGGCCACCGAGTCCATGAAGGCCGACAAGATGGGTGTCGTAGCACCCAGCATCGCAAAATACGGAAAGGCATCAGAGCCCAGTTGCTGGAGGGCCACACTTGACCGAACCAACTCGTTGAAGTGTTCTTCTGTTCCGAACCAGCAAATCACGCACTTGCGAACGATTAATCGATCACACAGGACCCTTTGTGGGTCGATGTGATTGACACTGCAACACCAACAGTGTGCATTCTTGAGCTTCTCCGTGCTGCAAACGCTCCACGCTCGTGTCCAAGGTTCGGAAGTGTTGCCGAAAGCAATGCGCCAGGAAGAGCGCTTCGACTCCTGCGGCCAGAAGCAGAAAGGACCATTGCAGAAAGCGCTGCTCCAAAAGTAGATGAACTCGAAAAATGCCAAAGATGAACATACAGACGGCGACGGACCACAAGACATAGCCAACGAGCACCGGTTTCACCTTGAGTGTGCGTGAGAGATTCGATGATGTCATGTCTGGATGAGACTTCAGAAATGCAGCGAGCTCGAAAACGCACCAAAGTCTGTAACCTGCCGGGCGTAGATGTAGATGTAGATGTAGACTGTAACCTGCCGGGCGAGACCGTGGTTAAACAGCCAAGGGTGGCAGTGGCGAGACTGCAGGCAAAATAGTTTTGGGCCCAGAACTAGGTTCCTGGGCAGTCAAACCCACACAAGCAGCATAGATCGGGAGGCCTTCAACATTGCTCCAATGTTCAAGATCCCAGTGGTCTTCATGTTCTCGTCAAATTGGTTGATGCAAGCCCGGTCCACGAAGACTTTCTGGCTGGATCTCCAAAGAAGGAAATTCGAAAGTGCAAGGATTGGTCCAACAGAAGCACACCAAGCTGAGAAGTTTCACCAAATGGAAAGAGAACCAACATGACCAAGGCGGCCGAGGTTCCAATGACACAGGCGGGGGCGCCCCGCTTCAGTGTCATCAAAAGCAAGACTTTCTTCCAGCCTGCTACCTGCCAGTTGTGACTCAAGAACTCATCGTATGACTTGGTGACTTGGCTCAAGTGAACAAGTTTCGGTGGTGCCCAGCCCAAAAGACCTGTCCCAAGCCAGACAAGACCATCCAAGCTGGAACCGCCGTAACAGCTCTGGCGTAGAGGGCTTCATCTGCTCAAGGAATGTGACGATCAGCTCCAAATCCTTTGATTCCTCGTTCTGCTCCTGTGGAGGTGCTTTGGCCTCGTCAGCATCGACTTCATCTTCATCTTTCGAACAATGTGCTTCGTCGGGTACCCCTGCGTCGATCATGAGCTCCATGGACAGGTCACGCTCATCCTCGACTGTACGAAATCGAGGAATGTGCGCAACGCCGTCACTCGCCATGGCCGCCACGATTGGGTGAGGTTTCAGGGAGTGGGTGTAACACGGTGTATGTTCTGGCACATGTGGATGCCTTCAGACTTGTGCGAATGGTCCTGGCCGAAGAGTGCTGTTGCTACTGGGAGGAGGCGTTCGCTTCGGTCCCAAGTCCCAAGTCACTCGGGAGTTGGCCAAGTCCGCACGAGTCCACGTGGCTTGGGTCCCTGCATCTCGTTCGGATCGGTGTGAGTTGACTTATAATCCACATATATATATATATATCTAGTAATCAACAATCAACAATCGAGTGGTGTGGAGTTTCATGAACTTTCTTTTATTTAACCGGCTTTCCTCCCGGCGAAAGGACAACACATCAAACATGCTGCTCATGTTTGGTGCGTGGACAAATCACACTGACCGAATTCACCCCGCTGAGTTTCGCGCACCACCTCGGCACTTCTGGAGCTGGTCCTACGTGGGTCTCGCCGACGGCGGTGTCCAAGGCAGAGCCGTCGGCAGCTCAGCGAGATGAAGTGCGTTGGCGTTGGCTGTCAAGTCTTGAGATCGAATCTTAAGCTCCTTCAGCCCAAAAGGTGGAAGGATGGGGCAAAGAATATAGACCTGAAGGATCCTGATGAGTTTCGGACTGTTTTATCAGGAGCTTGAAACGAAAACCCATCCAATGAACTCAACACTTGGGTTTTCGGAGAGGGCCAAGTCCACATCGGACAATCGCGCGGGTGGTCAGTCTCTGCCTGGAAATAACCATGGTTCGACATATCTCATGAAAGCCGACAGGATCGCCGTTGGCAGGATGACAAACTTGGGATCTGATCACAAAGGGATGAAGACTATCCTTTTCGGATGCAGCCCCTGGTGATACACCTCATGGTTGAAGTGGGTATCCCTTTTGAAGTTTCCCTCAAAATCTAGAAAACAAATCAGAAGCATGAGGTATCCTGCGTCCATAAGTAGTAGCGTCCAGTAGCTAGGAGCGAACTTCTCCCTTAATTAAGTAGGCGCCTACTTGATTGAGTAAGGCAGGGCCACCGGCTAAAAAAAGGGCTCCAGTAAAACGCTTCACCTCCCCCACCATGCAGTCCTCACCTTCACCGCTTTAGCTGGTGGACCTGGTGGATCTTGTGACTCCATGTTCCAGGTGTTCGTGTTCACGGCATGCTGCAGGTCGTTGGGACAAAAAACCATCCGAATCTCTTGTGCTGTGCATGTGTTTTTGGAACACAATTTTTTTCTGTTTCTGCCTCTGCAACTTCAAGACAATCCTTTCAATCACTCATCAACCTACCCTAGGCAAATCCTACAAGTTTAATCAAGTTTCATTTTGATCCATACTGAATCCATATCTAGCCCGTAATTTCAATACTGAAGGTTTTTGGAAACCCTCGGGTCTTCCTCAGACACCCTACTTGGGTGTGTAGGGCAGTCGAACGTTTCTTGGAACACTTGTCAAAGCTGCTCAGTTGCTATGGCAACTTGATTTCGATGCTCCGGAAGCGGGTCGAACATGTGAAGTGAGAACCGCTGCTGTGGACGACATGAACCTATATAGTGGTGGATTCTAATCGCGAAAATGTCATCACCCGGACTTTCTCTGGTTGAATGCATCAAATTCTCAGAGCTCTCCAAGCGGGATTCATCACACAGCCGTCCCCGCCTTCAGTCCGTCCCCTTCCATCTTCAGCAAATTTGGTTCGATGGAAGAACATCGCTTGGCAGATCCCTTCCGGATTTCTACCCTTTGCAATTCAAAACCTTGAGTCCTCCATGGCCCAACAAGCCAACTGGTTCCGCGAACCCCACCCCACCTCCGCGGTCTCCGCCTGCGAAGCCGGAAGCTGGGAGTTTCTGTTCTTTTTTTGCGTTGGAGACTCAGTGATTGGGAAGAAAGACATAAGCTAACAGGGTTAGGTAAGAGTCTTCACACCTAAAACCCGGAGCGGTTTCACAGAGTTGATCTTTCACAGCTCATTCCTCAAGCAACATTCCAAGTTGTTGTCTTCGACGACCGAACGTAGAGGTCGCCAAGATGTCAACGGCGAGCACAAGAACTCCGCCTCTGTGCAGGTTGACATCACCTATTTTTCACGACTGCCCATGGTCCCAAACGCATTTGGGCTTGGCCTTAGGCCACGCTCGGAGGCTCTAGGTCGACCGCCGCGTCCTGAAAAGGAGGCGTGATGAGTGAGTGGGTCAGTGGACTTCGGTAAGGATAGGTCTTGGCTGCCAGATTCAGCTCTTCAAAAGTGCTAGGTCCGGCTAACTAGGCCTTCCTATCTTTCTGGAGTAAAATCAGTTCCTGCCCAGGCCTCCAAGACCTGCAATTCGCTCAGGCAAACTTCCGCCTGAGGCCAGGCATCATGGATGCAGCGTGGGAACAGCGGAAGCATCCGCTGCGTCCTTCAACTCCAAAGCTGTTTTGCACTACGCATGTCCATTGAAACCAAACTGCAGTAGTCGAAGAAAGCTGTGTGACTTCCTGGTTGGTGTTTCGATGTTGACCAAAACAATGCCCTCTGTGAAGAGAGCAGACCCCCTGTCACATTCTACTTTTTGTGTCATGTTCGTCCGTATATCCAGAAGTTGAAACGCAGTAGACACCTGGATGTTATCGCGTTTGTATCTGGTGCGCCTGATGGAACCCAGTGCAAGACGAGGAAAACACATCGCAGCATTTACCCAAAATCATTACCTGAGTAGTTTGTTCAGGAGAGTCAGGAGTGTTCGGGCCCTTGCCTCAGAGGAGTTCTTCGCCAGGAGTGTCCCGAGGCCAAGAAGAGAGTCCACGGTGGCGGGGTGCATCTGGCCTAGAGTGGCCTGTCGACCTGCCAGAAGTGACGGCAGTCTGAGACACAAGGAGAGCAAAGACATCCTAGTGGACACTGCACAACTGCAGTCAAAAAAGCAATGGCACGAGCAAATGAACCAAATGAAACTCAAAGGGTACTTCGATCCATGCACAGCTGTCCACTTTGTGCCCATGCCATCCCATGCCTTCAAGAGATGCTCCAAGTTTCTCCGGGACAAAATCTATTGGGATGCATCCAAATATCCGTCCAATGCTCCACCTAAACCAGGCCTCCGAACAGCACTCAAATCATTTTCAGGCCATCTGTGATAACGTCCAGAAACCACGCCCAACCTCTTGTTAAACCCAAAAACGAAACACCTACGATAATCGGAAGCTGAGGGACCACCCCAGTTTCCTTGCAACAAGAGAGAGTATATAGGCTAAAAAGGTTTGGGGGGCTGTCCACCTGGGTAGGTAAGTCTCTGTTCGCTGTCTCTGGTTGTTGAGTGAACCTCTCACGTCAGGATCTCACCCTCCCCGTTTCCCCTCAGGTTCGGCCTTCAAAGGCTTTTCTGAAAAGAGACTCTGCTTCATCCAGCTTGCCTCGATCCCTCGACAGACATGCCAAGTTGTGGACTGCAATGAGGGTATGCGGATGTCGTCCACCCAGCTGCAACTCCTTAGCAGTTAAGGCTCGTCGCAGGAGTGGCTCTGCCTCATCCAGCTTCCCCTGAAAGTAATAAAGGCTGGCAAGGTTATTGACGGAGATCAAGGTACTTGGATGCTCCACTCCAAGCTGAATCTCGCGGCCTTTCATTACTCGTGCATAGAGCTGCTCGGCAGATGTCACATCCCCCTGTTGCATCAGAAGTGCTGCAAGATTGTTGGCTGACACCAGGGTGTCTGGATGCATTTCTCCAAGTGCAGCCTCACGACCGACCAGTGCTTTTCGACAAAGCCTTTCTGCTTCATTCAACTTCTCCTCCTTCTTCAACACAAGTGCCAAACTGTTCACCGCTTCCAGTGTCTTTGGATGCCTAACTCCAAGCTGAGCTTCTCTGGCTGCCATGGCTCTCCGAAAAAGTCGCTCAGCATCTTCCAGCTTTCAACGACTAGAAGCTACTAGGAACAAGTGCATCGCTACTAGTAACAAGTGCCTTACTACTAGGAACAAGAAGCTACTAGTAACAAGTGCCACGCTAGTAGTAACAGGTGCCTTACTACTAGGAGCATTCTCGCTACTAGGAACATCCAGTTGAGGTTGGGCGAAGCTTTCAACGACTTCCCCAGACGCACCGAGGCCAAGGTCTTTGGATCTGCACCGAGCCGCGCCTCGAAGCCTTCCATGGCTCGCCGCAAGAGCGGCTCCGCCTCCTCGTGGGCGCCAAGGGCGTGGAGCACTTCGCCCAACCTCAACTGGATGTTCCTAGTAGCGAGAATGCTCCTAGTAGTAAGGCCCTTGTTCCTACTAGCTTCTTGTTCCTAGTAGTAAGGCACTTGTTACTAGTAGCGATGCACTTGTTCCTAGTGCCTGGAGATATTGCTACTAGTTAAGTTTCCCTAAAAATCTAGGAACCACCTCATTGGCGCGAGCGCTTCTTCAAGGAAGCTTCCCCCGCCACCTTTAGGGCAGCAGTGGGAGCGCGCGAGCTATCCTGCGTCCATACTAGTAGCTACCTGGCTACTACTAGCTACCTCTCCCTTACCTAATTAAGTAGGGAGGAGGGGGAGCGGGCTTTAAAAAGGGGGGCCTGGGGTAAGTCTCGTTTCTTTTTGGGAGGTGCAGGAGTTCTTGTTAAAGGTATTGTTAGGTACAGTATTATGGCTTCTTTCCCACGAGAGTTCTTACTAAAGAAACCCAAACACCTCCCTCTCTTTCCATCTCTATCTATGTTTTCCTATTATTTCCTTTCCTATTCTTCATGTTTACTTTGTGTTCTTTCTTTCTTGCTTGCTTGCCTGCTTCCTTCCTTCTTTCCTTCCTTCCTTCCCCCTGAGCTCCACACCGGCCACAGGCTGCCAAGGCCTCCAAATGCCGCCAGCCCAAGCGCTTTGTGAGTGCTTCCACGCGGCCGCGGAGCCTCACTGGTTGTGACGTGACGGGACCTCGCTGGTTGGGCAACGCGCGTCTACGTTTGGCTTTGAGGTACCGTGACTGCCACATAGAAAGAGGCAAATGACTAACAACGACAACTAGACGAGTTGGAAAAGAACATCAACAAATACTGAAGTCTATCTAGTAGTGATGACTATGATCTCACCACGGTGGTTATGTAAGTGCCACATAGGTGACAAATCCAGTCCCATGTGGAGAATTAGAGGGCCATCCATGGATTTCGATGCCCCAATGCTGGCATGCAGGTGGCCTGAGGATGCTAAGAACCGTGGAGTTTGGAGTTTCCAAGATGAAAACATATGAAATCTCTTGCAATAGCAGGACATATCTTGAACACCGCATGGGCAACCACACGCTGGGTGTCAAGAAATGCAGCAGAACCGAAAAAGAGGGAAGAGGGAAGCAAGGAAACAGAAGAGGAATCATTTTCTTTCCTCTTAAGACCTTTAGACCTTTCTTCCTTGTCTTTGTTCTTTTTCAATCGGAATGCACCATCGCCATCCGTTTCCACACTCTTCGAAGGTGCTCCGCCGGCTTTCAACGAGCTTCGTTTCGGTCAATCTTGCAGCGTAGTCGACGTCGCCGTCAACTCGCAGAACTGCACAGTCTCTGGGTGGCTTTCCGGGCTCGTTCGGCTTGCCAACCAGGCTCCTTGTAACAGTTCATTGGACGTGAGACATACTGCTGGACAAAAAGTCTGAGCTTGACTGATGCAGAAATACATAAACACCTGCTGCTAACATGCCAAGATCATTTTGTTCGCCACCGTGCAAAATCTGAGTCCCCCAGCGTACTGGCAGGCCTGCCCTGTCATGTATGGAGAACTGGTTTGAGACCCCTGGAAACAGAAAAGAACACACTCACACAGATCGCTGTTGCTGGAATCAAACACTACTACATTAATATTCCATGCTTTTGCAGCAGTGGTGCGAAAAGTGCAAGAGCTTCGTCGTTGAAAGGCTTATATAAGGCCAACTTAAGCCAAGGCCCTTGTATGGGCAAAACACACTACTAGTAGGTTGGAGGCCATTGCTTCTAGGTTGGAGGCCATCGCTTGTATGGGCACAACAAGCCAAATCATCATCTTCAGTCAACCAACGCACATTACGGGACGCCGTCAAGCCTTCTCAAGCATCTCAGGCGTCCCGCGCTTCGAGACATCGTAGACATGGGCTGCTTTCACCAAAACAGGTATGCAAAAGGCCACCCTTGAGCGACACTCCTGAGACGTTTTCCCGTTTCAGGAGAGAAACAGAAGCTTCCTTTTTTGAAAGGACATGCACTATGTCGTATGCATGCCTTTAAAGCAAACACTTGCAAAAAAACATCCGTCCATGGACAAAGACACCTCCAACGCAAAAAAAAAAGAGAGATCTCCTGAATCGCCATCTCAGAGCCTTTCAAGTCGATTTCACGCTTGAGCATGCTGCGATAGTGATTGTCGATCAATGTCTCGACATCTGGCCACTCATCCGGGGCCTTCTGCACGCAATACACTCCTGCGCCGAAAATTCTTTTCTTCGCAGTCGCGAGAATCTACAGCAAATGTTGGAAACTAAACAAAACAAAACAGTTCTTGTCGTTATTAGTAACAAGAATCTACTAGGAACAAGTGCATCGCTACTAGTAACAAGTGCCATACTAGTAGTAACAAGAAGCTATTAATTTAAATTCAATTCAATTCTATTTTAATTCAAATAGCTTTTTGTTACTAGTAGTAAGGCACTTGTTACTAGTAGCGTGGCACTTGTTACTACTAGCTATTAGTTAATTGCGAGTGCGTGCAAGTTTTTTTCGTCTGCATGTCTCGTGGATCGCATGTCTAGCGTCTCACGGCGTGCCTTTTCCCCAAGTGTTGGCTCTCTTCCCGTCGATCAAAGAAGCCTGCGCCAACGCTGGAAGGACGCTACGAACGGGGCTTCTGGCCTTACTACTAGTAACAAGAAGCTACTAGGAACAATTTGCTTAACAATTTGAAGCTGAGTGGGAGCCATTGGGATTCAGCATGTGAACGTTGCACGCACACCAGTTTACCCATCGCAACCCTTGTCCCTGCAACATCAATCCTACAGACAGAGCCTTATAGGAACTCTAAGTGCTGCAAATAATGCTTTTCGATTCTATTTACCACTTAGTTCGGCTGAGCTGTTTCGGATGCCCAAGTGATCCGCCGGCTTCGGCACCCGCCGCCCTGAGCTCCGCACCAGCATATCTGAAGTGGTCCGTGGACTAGTGATGTTCCGGAAGCCCAGCTCCGTGGTGTAGTGAAAGAAACAGTCCACTTCACGGACATCGTTCGCTCCGCTTGCTCCGCCACGCGTGCAGCGTGTGTGACATGGAGTGTCAAGCGAAATCCAATGGAGAGCATCTTGCCAAACCTCGACATCGATGTGGGATTGCTGATTGCTGTGACTAAAAAGAGGTGCAATGAACATTTTAAGGAGGTCATTGAAGCGCTACAGGGAGGACATAAATATATTCAATCTGCTCATGGTCCAGATTCTGTCCCCATAGCAAACAGCGACAGAAAGCAAACATACGAAGGACAGCCAACCCACCTTAATCTTTAAGCCTTCATGCAGCCAGCACCAGTCAGCTTCAGCTTGATACTCTCGGTGCAAGAACAAACCACCCTTCTGGTAGTGCTTCCGAAAATACTCCCGAAGGCTCACCTGTCGCTCATGGGACAGGTTCTTTGCTTGTCTTGCCAAGGCTGGTGGCTGGTCCCCATCGGAGAACATTCGGACATCACGCAAACGCAATGGATTAAAAGACTGGATTGGATATTAAGAAACACAGATGGTGGATGGTTCTCCATTTCTATTTTTTTTTGGGAGGCTGTGCATTCAAGTAATTCAGCGTGGGTCGTGTGTGTTGCTGTGTTTTCTGCGACCTGATGTCAACTGCTCCAATCTTTTGGTTGGTGATGTGATTGAGAAGTTCCCCAGGAAAAGAATCAGGGCCGAAGGATAGGGATTTAAACCGATTTCAAACACGGTCATTTTCAAACAGACAAGAAAACCTCTTGGCAGGAAGTGCAAAGAAACGAACCACCAAACAACAAGAAACGTGTCACCCAATGACGTTATTTTTGTTTCTGGGTGGTTTCTCATACCTTCTCCTCATCTTCCAAAGATTCAGAACCTCTCGCAAAGAATTGTTTCATGTCGGGATCCCCCGCTGGCCTCATCGATTCTGCCGCTTCCAGACGGAGCTTCCAAGTCTTCCTAGTCTTCCAGCGGGTTTTGGGCGGTTGAGCTGAACATGTGCCATATGGGTTGGTTGGCCAGTACTGTAAGTACATTGGAGGAAGGTTTCTTAGGGAGTTGACTTCACGAACGATCCGAAAATGAACCCTCAGATCCATCAAACAGTCGCACTTTCCACAAAACTTGGGAGTTGATGGTGGGACTAACTGAACACTACCTTCACAGGGAGTTCGGCAGGGTGTGGGACTCAAACCCCTTCAGCTATCTTCAGGTATCTTCAAGTACAGTGCAAAGGAATTCACCCCATTTCGCAACACAAGGGCATCGCTACTAGGAGCAAGGACGCTATTAGGGCTGTTGCAATCCTTATGCCCATCCCCTCCAGCCGATCCCTCACGCCTCTGGCAGTGGATGATATTTCGGACGGCAACACTTGGCTCCCATGGTGGGACAGCTTGAGCCGTTCGCTTGTGCCAGTGAGACCAAGTGGAGGCTGGAGGTTCCTTTTTCTGGCGCAGGAACTTGATCAGTGGTTTTCTTCAAAGCCAACTGATTTGAAAAGGACCCCGCTAACTTTTGAAAGAATTGGAATCATAGAAGTTCCAGCACACCGCAGCCCGCTAATGCGAAGAACGTCTCACGTGAACACCCCTGACTGACAGGGTGCTTCTTCGGGCAAAGAACCAGGTGCGAGTGCCCAAAGAACAAGGTGAAAATGAGCGAGACCATTTGTGGTAGACCAAAAAGATACCTATATCGAGATACTCTTACCTTTTGATAGACCAATTGTGGTGTAAGACTCATTGGTGTGATACCTCAATTGGTTGAGCCCATTGGATGTTCGGGGTCAACGACCCATTTTTGAGTCAAGTGGGCGCAGATGAGGGACATATGCGCAGATGTGAGAGCACGGGTATGAGTGAGCACACATATGAGAGCACCAACATCATCACACCTGTGAGAACACATTTGAAAGCACGCGCTGTGTGAGTTCTGTGTGTATTTGTTAGTCAAAGGTTGGGCCTTTGCGGCATTTGCTCGAAGGCTGCTACAAAGCATATGCAAGCAACGCCAATGATCGATCGCAGGCAAGCCTACCTTCAAACGTCTTACCTTCATCAGGCTCGCGCCTTGGCCGGAAGGCGCGGAAACCAAACAGCTCACCAGCATCACCGCCAAAGCCAGTGCGCAGAAGCTTCGAACCGCGGGACTCATGTCTCAAGACAATTTAATGGTGTTATCTTTTATATTTTCTATTTTCTATAATCATGATTCCATCTTTAATCTATAAGAGATGGAAGGTCCACAACTACAGCAATTAATTTATAGATTAAGAGCAAAAGCAAAAGCCTTTATCATTTACACTGAATTCTATTTTTATAAAGGGCTTTTGCCCAGAGAAGAAATGAAAAGGCACATGACAACCACCGATTAATTCATATTCATCCTTGGCATTGGCCCTTTAAAACTAAACGGTTATTGATGGAAAGAATGGCCTGGCTTTTTCCCTCTCATCTAACGGTCATAAGCTGTGTCGGTCAACCGCCGGGCCAAGAGCAGGGGCCCCAGATCCAAGAAGGGGCCCAGTCAGACACGGCGGCTGTAAGCGAGGGAAAGCATTTTACGAGAGGAAAGCCACGTTCCACACCGGGGTGCGTTGCTCTTAGGAAAATGCCTTTGGGTTCTTCGAACCGCATAGGTTTGTTGCCTTTCGTCGAGCAAAAGGCACTCAACCAGTGGACTAAGAACTTACATTTCGTTGGCCACTCGTTTTCTTAGCGAAGAAATACGCTGCAACAATGGAATGATATTGCAAGGCATTTTGAGCGGTCGCAGAATGCAGTTTTTACGTGCTCAATTTGGATTGCAACTTTTAACAAACCCACCTGCGAAGGGTTCTCCTTTAAGAACATCATCATCATCATCATCATCATCATCATCATGTTAAGGCTGTGTTTAGATATCTGTAGGTAGATATGTGTCTATACATGTGGATGCAGGAGCCCTGGCGGGCTCGGCTACCATCTATGTACTTTGTACGTCTGCCGACTGTCAAAACAAAAGCCCATGTAGACAACCCATCACCTAACTGTTCTGAGTCCTTGCTCACTTTCACTATCCCATGCTATCAATGCTATCACACATTCTTTGCCGGTCAGCATTTTTCTTTTCCTCATTGGGCCGTCGTCGGAAACGCTCCAAGTTCTCTGCACGCTCCTGGCTCTTGGGATGCTCACAACCCAGAAGCTCCTGTCAAGAGCGACGATGACAGTACCACACGGAAACATCCTTCAACATTCCCTGAGATTCTGAGATGGACAGTGATTCCCACGCAAAATACGAAGGATTTCTGGCTTCAAATGAACTAAAAGCACAATCTGCCTGCCTTGAGTGGGGTAGATTGAACAGACCATTCATAATTCATAACACAACTGTTTGGATGCAAAGGTTGCAAGTTCGCCGTTTTCATCCAATGACATCCGATTCCTGTGCGGCACGCACAAATCAGAATATCCACACGACCTCCAACCCTCAATCAACGTTGCGTTCTTGAGAGAAAAGAAACACATGAGCCTCTCTCCAGTTCGCGTTGACCCGACCCGAATGAAGGACGCCATGCGAGATCCATCGGCTCGCGGCTCGCGCATGCCAGTCACTCGCCGCACGCGGGTGCCTCCCAAGCATCCAACTCTCGGAGGTACAGCCGCTCCGCCTGGCTCGGTGCGGTGAGCTCCAAGGAGCGATCGGACGCTACGAGGAACAAATGGCATCGCTACGAAGGGAGCAAAGGACGCTACTATTACTACTATTACTACTAGGAGCAAGAAGCTATTAGGAACAAGTGCATCGCTTCTAGTAACAAGTGCCTTACTAGTAGTAACAAGAAGCTACTAGGAAACAAACAAGAAGAACAGGAAGAACGTTGTAATATATAGAGGTGTTCATCGGTACCATCCATACACCTTGGTTTGATGAACAAAGTGATCTGCGCTTTCAACACGACGTGTCCAAAATCTCAAAATCTCGAAGTCGACGAAGAGCCACCAATGGGGCATTTCTTTATTGGCAAATTGGTGCCAAATTGGCAGCATCTGGTGCTTTGGGGCTTCCCATACTGATCTGGTCACTCCTGGAATGAACAGAATGGTCTGCTAGGGGCAAGGTGATTCATTTAGTTTCGCACGGTCGCTCAAGGAACCTTCCGTGCTCAAGAAATCGACACAGGAAGAACCGGACGACTGCAAAGTAGACCATTCCAGACTTGCATGACGATTTGGTGGGGCCAGCCACTCGACATCAAAGCTTGCCAAAACGAGCACTTATCCATCTGAGGGGCAGCAGGACCTCTTCAACGCAGCAAACATCCCTAAAACCGGTCACTCTCCGAAATCTCTTTCACTCCCGACCTCCAACTCATCCCCTTTCGTTGCCAAGAGCTCCGCCAAGTCAAAGATGGCCTCCAGCGTCAGGCCATGCCCCTCGCCCAGCTGCCGCTCCCGGCCCTCGACGACGCGGCGCAACAAGAACTCCTCGGCGAGCGACGTGGCGACCGTGGCGGAGAGCGACCGGACCGGTGTCCGGAGCGACGTGGAGGGATTTTCCTGTCCAAAAACCGTAGGATCCAGGATGGTAGCGTGCTCTGTTCTTGGATTTGGCTGCATTACCCAATACACTCTTCTCCTAAACTCCCAAAAAAGGTGCTTGGCTAAGGCGGCGAAGGCTCGGCTTCCTCCAGGTTCCTTTCCTCCAACAACTTGGCCAGTTCATGGACCGAGGCCAAGGTGCTGAGATGCATCCCTCCCAGCTGCCTCTCTCGACCGAGAACAGCTCGCCGCAACAAAGTTTCGGCCTCCTAAAAGCAACGGTGGAGAGGAGGCCACGCGGGAGGGCCTAAGCAACAATTATCCGGCTTGTTCTTAGGTACAAAAGGCCTCAAGAAAGGGCATCACAAGGAATGTGAGATTCATAATGAGGGTCATTTGTCTGTGTTTCTGATCTCACGGTCTACCCCGCCATTGCAGTGAATTCATAGTATACGAAAGACCCAATGGTCAAACAAGTCTCATGGTCTGTGACACACCAGGACTTCCAACCGGGTTTTAGTCCGCTTGGATCCTCCCATGCATCCAAAAGCAAACCCACCCTCCCAAGCCACCGCCCTTCTGCATTCAGCTCTTCCCCGACCACGCCGCGACGGCGTCCTCCGTCTTCCGCCGCTGCCTTAGCACCCGCCCCAGGCCGTGCACCGAGCACAGCGTCTCCGGGTGCGCGGCGCCCAGCGCGGTGCTGCGGCAGGCCACGGCGCGACGAGCAAAGCGCTCCGCCTGGGAAAGGAAGGAAAACAAGTGAGAGGATTTTCTGTCAATGTGTCTTCAAGAGACTTCTGTCAAAGAACTTGGAAGGTTTTTTCTTGGCTTTCATTGGCTTTCTTGTTTTCGATCCAAAGGGTGTTCAATGAACACAGATACCACGCGGCAATTTACAGGCGCTTCAGCATCCAGAAACCTTGTGGCTCTGAGGGTTTGAAGCTCGACTACAGGTCGACTTACCTAGGGTATCTTCATTCATAGGATTTGGGACACGCGCTGCTACATCAAGATCACAAGCAGTTGCATGAAAGTCTTGTCCCATTCATCCCGACCCCAGCCAGCCTCTTCCAGCTTCCCCTTGTTGTGAAGGAACACCGCAAGGTTGTTCACCGAGGTCAACGTCTTGGGATGAACGCTGCCCAGCTGCACCTCACGACCACTTAAGGCTCGCCGCAGGAGAAGTTCAGCCTCCTCCAGTTTCCCCTGGCATCTGAAGAAACGGTGAGTACCCTCCCCGAAGAAATCAACGATTCCTTCTGTATCCTTCTTTCATTATCTTTTCTTTTCTATCATCCGGTTGGGGAATGGAACATGTTGGTCCAATGCGTAGACTTGATCGAGTAGAAAACAAACACGTCATCTGCCCGGATGACACGTTCTGCTTCCGTACTGGAAAGCCCACACATTTCCCAACACGACACAATCACTGACTGAATCCAACCCACCAACCGTAGGCTATCCAAATCCAAACATTCTCCGCTCCAAACAACTCCCCAGGCCTGATCCTCCAGTAGACTTGCGAGTTCATCCACAGATGCGAGTGTTGCTTCATCTTCAGCTCCAAGTTGAGCTTCTTGCCCAGCCAACGCTTGTCGCAAAAGCGGCTCCGCGGTGTCCAGCTTCTTCTGCTTCTTCAACACACGTCCCAGGTCAAACACCGAGATCAAAGTGTCTGGATGCATTGCCCCCAGCTGAGTTTCACACCCTGCCATGCCTGGTTTGGGGGAGGGGAAGGCGGAGGAAGGTTCGGGTTGGAGTGTGGGCATTCACCCTGAAAAATCTGCCAACCAACACAGCGGGAACGGGCAACAATCAAGAGGCGTGAGCGGCTGAGACTTGCACTTTCTACAGCTTGATCCACTCCAATTGCAAACAATAAATTGATGGATAAACGGACAGTTCTCACCATCCAAACCCTTCCAGAAAATAAACGAGCAAAAACATGTTTCAATCCACAAGCGCACAGGAAAAGGTAATACAAAGCATTATCATTAAATTTGATCGCAAACATTTTGAATGCTTTACGATGCGAAACCTCCTTTGTTGCCGAGCCTTGCCAACAAAGAGCCTCAGCCTCATCGATATTCCCCTGCTCTTCCAACAAACATGCCAAGTCCCTGGTCGCTCGCAAACTCAAAGGATCTGTACTTCCAAGCTGTGCCACTTGACCTGCCAATGCTCTCCGGTAGAGTGGTTCCGCTTCCTTCAGCTTCCCCGCTTCCTCCAGACACTGCGCCAGGCACGTCACCGCACTCAGCGTCTCGGCATGTCGCCGTCCGAAGCGAGCCTCGTTGGATGCCAAGGTCTCACGGAGCCGCTCCACCTGTGGGTCTTTCTCAAACCATGGTACAAAAAGAACATTAGTAGTAACAAGAAGCTACTAGTAACAAGTGCATCGATACTAGGAACAAGTGCCTTACTAGTAGTAACAAGAAGCTAGTAGAAACAAGTGCCTTACTAGTAGTAACAAGAAGCTACTTTCTCAAGACGTACCGTCTCCACTTCTCTTGTTCCTCCAGATCCGCCAGAATCGCCCGAACCTTTTGTTGGAACCCCATGTGGGAGGGAACGCCTGTCGGAGGGAACGACAGCCCCTCCCTCCCGCCTCAAGTCTCCCGGGACGCGAGTCGTGCGTTTCCAGCTTCACATCGCCGTCGCGGAACACCTGAGGGCGACGAAGAAGGTCTTCGATCAGGGCGAGCAACGCTTCGCTGTAGCGTCCGATCGCTCCGTTCGTAGCGTCCGATCGCTCCGTTCGAACAGAACGCATGGGCAGTCGCAAAAGATCAGAAACACGTCGTTGATGGGATCAACAAGCCATGAGGATGTCGTGGCATGAGATAGATGCCTTTTGACATGCGTGATTTGGTTTCTCAATCGTGTTTGGAACCTCATGGCTAGCCACCCAGCTGAAGAAGGCTGGTCAGTCTCAAAGCACAGCTTCTGCGAAATAAATAAGCAACAACATTCAACACAGCCACCAACGCGTTGGTTTCTCCCTGAATGGGCTGCCTGAGCCTCCAGATCCAAATGGCACTGCGCACCATCCAGACGGGGGAACCACATCTGTAGCATTTGGTCGGTCTTCTGCGCCATACACCACGAGAACCCACTTCTCCAGTTACCACTTTCACACAACCTAAGGAACTCTGCCAAAAAGAATAGGCGTCACAAGTGCTTGGGGTCGGCAGGTTGAGTTGTGTTTGCCGGAGTTGTGCAGCTTTTTGCAAGTGGTTGCTTGTGATGTTGTGTACTGCGGTTCTTGATGCCATGTTGCTTTGTGATGCGGTGATGAGGTATGTTGCTTGGGTGTGTAGCTCCAGTTGACCAGTTTTGTTTGGAATGGCCACGGGTCGTAGCTGGCGATCAACTCTGCCCACATTCCGAAAACTGTTGGGCTCCTTGCAACTCCAAGCATTATCAGGTTAAGACATGTTAGACTTGTTCTCCCACGTCAAGCAGTCCCTCATGCACTTCTGCGCACTTCTGCCCCAGGCCATTTTTCGTGCCAACGCCCAAGGAGCTGAGTCTTGGCCACACTCATTGCCTGAGGAAGTGCCGTCAGCTCCAGAGTGGGAATTAGGATCTCTTGGAACATCTTCTCACTTCAACAAGCAAGATGGTAAAGCCAAAGATGAAAGTGGACTGCAAAATTGCCGGACACTGACAGCACCAACCACAAACTTCCCCATGCAGTTCTGCGAGTAGCATCCCATTGGGCAAACTGTGTTGGTGAATTCATCTGTTGGTCCTGTCGAGAAAACAGGATCGACCCGGAACCTTGTGGCTACACGACCAACGGTGGGAACCGTTCCAATGAACGCATGGGTGGTCCTCACCGGTTCGGGTCGTCTTCGCATGGATCGCTTCGGGTCGGGCGGTTTGGGGCCGAGGTGCAGAACGCAGAAGTTGGGTTTGTGAAAGTGGATGTGCTTGTGCCAACCATCCATGGTCAAGGCCTGGCACGCGTTTTTTCGAGGAGAAGAGGAGAACATTTGCAAATGGGTGAGAAACAATAACATGTGGAATCAGATGGCAAATGAACATTTTTGATGTAGTTGTGGGAAATCTGGAACAGAACTTTCCAGAGTGATTAACTGTTCTTGAGGAAGGAATCGATCCCTTTCTTTCCTTTCTGCTTGCAAGGGTCAAACTACTCCCCGGTTTTTTCACGCTGCTTCAATCACCACTGTCGGCCATTTTGGCTATTCTTCAGCGTCCACAAAGCAATCTTCTCAGCCGCTCAAACATGAGTTTGCATTGCAAATCTTAAAACAGATTTGTGGTAGTGTTGGGCAACTGAGAAGAATGATGCCTTCTTCTTCAGAGACCGCTGGCACTAACGATGGATCAACACAACTCTGTTGCACCTTTGCCAAAAGCAACACCTGCAAACCATCGCTACTAGGGTGGAGGCCATCGCTAGTAGAGTGGAAACCAGGGAGAGGTTGATCCATAAGTCACGCTCACCGACTTTGCTTGTGGGCAACTCAGCTCGGCATGCGGCATGCGGCGGGACGCTGCTGCATGCCCGCATCCTGTCGGTGGCGCCGGCACTGAAAGGATCTTCACCCCAAGAGTATGCCTGCTTTTCCAACCTATTTCGCTCTGTGAAAAGCACCAGAAGACAGTCAAAGGAGACATGTTGTGACAAATCTGGAGTCTCGAACACCAAAAAGGTCAACTGATGGTGATCCACTGCCTGGCCCCGGGAAACGAATGAAATATCGCCTCCTTCTTCGACAGGGATCAGTAGTCCAACGTGCCGTACCTCAGGCAAACACGTCCCATGCCCCTGACAGGGGACACCCCTGCCTCGAGCAATGAAGCTGTACACCACAGCGCCCCCTGACCTATATCATGAGAACATGGCACCTCAAGATGCTATTTCTTTACTTGTAAAATGCTTGTGAACTTGTTTCGTCTTTCAGGACCTCTTCTTCTTCTGGCTCCATCTTACTTGAGGCCTACGAGCCAGTAACGAACCAGTTGCAGCCTCCTCGTCCCTTCAAGTGACAGCAAATTCCCCGGATTCAGCTCCCAAGCAACAAAAATCAAGACCAGCCTTGGTCCCAAAAAACCGCTCTTTGTCTCATCCCCGAACCGCATCAGCGAAAGCCGCTCGCCCTCTGCCCAGGCACATCCGCGCCGGGCGCGCTGTGGCACCTGAAGTGCCGATCACAGAAGGTGTCCCTGCAGGCCACGACCAAGGGTTGGTCATCTCAAAGGAGGCCTCGCGCTTTCGCAACACGAAGACCTCTGGTGCTTTTCCACATCCGGAAAATACACCGAATCTAAAGTCCGTCCTCCAAAAAAGCAAGGCACCAGCAGGTGAAGACCCAGCTGTGATGGTCATTCTCTCTCTCTCTCTCTCTCTCCCCCGCTTGTGAAGGCTTTCAGGATGGGCCAATTGGAATTCCACACGACGAAGGCGTTTTCAAACTGTCTGGACTTCCGCTCCACACAGCACCACCTCGAAGCTCGCGAAGCCGCCCACGTGCTCGGAGCGCGTGAAGAGGCCCAGCTCCTGCACCCGGCGCCTCGGTCTGAGAAAACGGAACACGTTTGGAATTCCATTCCGGTGAATCTACTGTTTTGAGTCTGAACATACAGTAAACACATGTAAACACCAAGCAAATGAAAGGAAGGTGTTTGGCACGCTGCTTTTTGTCTGCTGGTCAGACGCACAATTCCTCCATCCTCCAGAATCCTTCATGAGAAGACAGAATCATCAGTTCCTTCGGTGGTTCATCAGAGATCACTGAAGACCAGTCCAGGTCCAGTCGTCTCTTTCAGTGGGGTCTTCTTCCCCCTTCTCATCGTCCTTTCCTTGCGGTTTCCGACGCATCCAGGGTCCCAACATCAGCGCCAACAGCTGCCAGGGCCGGGAGTGCAAGTAGTAGAAGACCTCCGCCGCGGAGGTCGCGCAAGCGAAGGTCGCGATCGGTCGCGATCCGTGAGGGCGAAGCGTCACGCAAGGCGTCACGGTAAGCCCAGTGTGACCTTGGGCTACTAGCGATGGCCTCCTCTAACCTACTAGCTATGGCCTCCAACCTTGGGAACTTGCTTTAAATTTGTTCAAGTTCTACACCTTTAAGGAGTCAAGCCGAAAGTGATAAAGATGATTGCGAAGCTATAGTAGCCATGGTGCAATCTGAAACGCCCAAACTTTCAGCTGCACCAAACAAGTTTATTTCGAAGTGCCTACGGCGCGATAGTCATCTTCTTGAAATGGTTCCGTCACTCCCCCTTTCTGCTCTTTCAGAATGCTTATTCAAAACAAGAACTGTTTTAACCAAAGGAATACGTAAGTTCCTCTTAACAGTTAACAGGACCTCTCAAAGACTTCAGCCCCTTTGTTTGCAACAAAAAGACATGCTTCATCATGCTTCTTTATGGGTTACTGTGGCTGGCAAGACCCAGTCAGAGCACCTTGGAACCCAAAAGCAGCTGTGCAACCACCACCGTCCCTTCTGGCCAAGCCACGATGACTCCGAGCACCACGAACCACGAGAGCCTCGCTGATTCTCCACCAGGGGGTCCCATGTGGTGCTGCCGCCGAGGCGTTCCAAGGGGTTGGGGTCCCCTACGCAAGGAGTCCACACGAAATCCCACAACCGAAGATGGTCAATGCTGGGATCAAAATTTAGGCAAGGCCTCCAAACAGCACGTCATGGACTGAAACCAACCGACCATGTTCCAGATCATTTGGCCAAACGGGTTTTCCGGCTGGAGGCAGCAAACCTTGGGCCCAAGTCGCATCCGTGTGGAGACGAAGCCGGCCGCGGGGGCTGGCGCGGACACCGCCAGCTGCGGGGTTGAAGGCCTTGGTCCAAAGCAACAGGAACCCGAGGAACCTGACACGGGTGTCTGGCTTCAATAGGCTTCAAGGAACCTAACAGCGATGGCCTCCAATAGCGATGGCCTCCACCCTAGTAGCGATGGCCTCCAACCTACTAGCTGTCTTCATTCAATGGAGTCGGACTTCACTATTGAGACCTTGGTCCACCCAGTGGATTCTTCCCTTTACCACGGTCTGCTTGTGTGCTCATGGAACGAGCCAGTGAGCAAATCCCTTTCTACAGAGGCCATTTCATTGGGAAGGTGCACTTGAAGGAAAACGCTTTTGCACTTGCCTCACACATCTTCTCCCTTCTGTTCAGAACTTGTTGTGCCAAGTGCCAAGCCACATGGTCTGGCCCAGCCCCACCAACGCTGTTGCAGCCTTTTCCCGGTCGTCTGCTGGCCAAAGCACCGGGGGGGCTGACCTCATTTGCTCACCGAGGTGGTGAATCGAATGGGCTAAGAGTCGAAGAGATTAGAGCGTCCTCTTGTTCCTAGTAGTAAGGCCAGGAGCGCCCCTAGTAGCGTCCTTACTCCTAGTAGTAAGGCACTTGTTACTAGAAGCGATGCACTTGTTCCTAGTAGCGTCCTCTTGTTCCTAGTAGTAAGGCCAGGAGCGCCCCTAGTAGCGATGCCCTTGTTACTAGTAGCCTCTTTGCTCCTAGTAGCGATGCGCTTGTTACTAGTCGCTTCTTGCTACTAGTAGTAATGCCAGGAGCTACTAGTAGCTTCTTGTTACTACTAGTCTACTGTTCATTATTCCTTTTCTTTTTCCTTTGTTTCTGATAGTGATGGCCTCCAACCATGAAATATAAAAAGCCAAAAGATGGTCTTTCCAATTTCAAAAGTACCAACAGACTCAAAACAGTACCAAAAGAGGAAAACCATACCCATGTCCGCCATCAACCATCCGAAAACCAGCCAACACCTAGAAAAAATACCTGCGCCAAACACCAACGAACCAGCACCTAAGAAGATCGCCCCAAGAAACTCACAGAAAGTCTCCAGATCAGATCGATCCCTCCCAATCCCTGCGACCGCGCCACACCGGAGGCGCCGTCCCACCAGCCCAAGGCTTGCCGGACTTTCCACGGTCCAGCGCCACCCAGATCTCGCCGTTGCCTGGAACGACGAGCCGAAACACGACCGCGACCGCGTGGAGAACGAGCGAACGAAGGAACGGGTCAGCCGGGGGTGGGAAGATGGAGCCGAGGATGAAGACCCGGATGGTCTAACAAGCCTAAACCCTAAACCATGACAAAGAGGCATATTGTATATGGTCTAACTCTTGAGAGTTGAGGCAATGATAAAGACTCCTGAATCTGCGTTCTTACATTGAGCCACCCACATGGTATCAGTACAAGTGATGATACATCACTCCTTTGTCTTGCTTTCTTCTCAAGCTTCTTCAACAATCAAGGTCGAGTGTCTTGTTCTTCAGGCTCGAGGCTCTATGGGAGCCTCGAAGCACATCACTGTCCGACGAAGTTCAAGGCCGCCATCGATTCTCTATGGAAAGGGCTCAAAGAAACACAATAGAAACATAATTAATCATAATTACTGTACACGCCCTCAAAAAAGCTGTGACAAACATGGGGCGAATTCACAACCCTTCCCATTCGGCCCGCCCCTCCCATGCGGATGCTGCTCGGCCTCCGGAGAAATGCAGCGGAAGTGCCCAGATGCGGCTGGCACCATCTTGCACCTTGCGGCGTTCGATGCACATCCTTCCGCCTCCGCGGACGTCTAGTAACAAGTGCATCGCTTCTAGTAACAAGTGCCGTACTAGTAATAACAAGTGCCACGCTAGTAATAACAAGTGCCACGCTAGTAGTAACAAGTGCCGTACTAGTAGTAACAAGTGCCACGCTAGTAGTAACAAGTGCCTTACTACTAGTAACAATGTTTGCTAGTAGTATATATGAGCCTACGAATGGAGCCATCGGACGCTACGAAGGAAGGGGCTCCTGGCATCGCTACGAACGGAACAAAAAAGCTAGGAGCAGGACTCCTGGCCTTATTACTGGGAGCAAGGACGTCTATATTGGGACTTTCCACAGGCTGAACATGTTCGCTTTGAGACCCAAGACCCAAGGCCCCGAAAGCGCTCGCGGGAAATGGCTTGGGATTTCTGCCCGCCAATGCCCGCCTGCTCTGGTTTGCGAGCTTCAAAATGATTCTTAAAACAAGATGGAACCCTCGAACCTGAATGCATACACACCCAATCGAACACCAACGGTCAAACATTGCTTGACACTCTTAGTAAGACACTCTTGAATAACAAAAACGACAAACACTTCTAGTTAACTCCTGTCTCTTCATCCGTCCACCGTCCACCGGTCTCACTCTCGCTGGTCTGCCTGCACCGGGTGTCCGGCACCGCTGTTTTGGCTCACTTGCTCCAGGACATCTGAAGGCCACGCCACGGTGACGAAGCCACCGTTGCCTGAATGGAATCCGCACAGGGATGCAATGGAATGAATACCGGTTCTAGTTCCTTTGATTGAAGCAGAATGACATACACAATTCCATGGGTGGGTGGGGAGGTTTCTTGATCAATCTTGACCATTCTTCTTTTGCCAGCTGTCGTTTCGCAACAGATTTCTGGAACCAGAACACACATATACTTACACGCAGACATTATGACATGGTATTTCCGAAATTCTCTCGTGGTGAGTTCCGAAGTCTGAAAAGGGCCGTTCCAAAAAGGCGTCGAACAGATTCCCACCGCCCTTCCGCCCGCAGTCCTTCCGCCCCACCCTCCACCCTCCGCCTCCCACCGCAGAGGACGCTTTCGGCCGCACTGGGAACTGCGCTGTGCCCAGCTCGGCGTCTAGGGCCTCTTCGGTGCCGTCGCGGCTGGTGGAGTGGCCCAGGGCAAAGCGGAGCACCAGGTCGCTGCCAGCCCTTGGGTTCCATGTCGACTGCTTTTGGTCAGGCTGGAGGTTGATTTCCTCCATTTCTTTTGGGTTGGAGGTTGTGTCCAGGTGCTTTTCTTTTCTATTTTGTGCGTTTCCAAAGGGTTCTAAGTTTCTAAGTGTGTGCTTGACTCAGGTTGGTTCACAGTTGAATGGCGAACTATGACAACATCTTGCTGTGGCACACTTCAAGCCCTATCTTGCCCAACCCTGGCCAAAGCAAAATCCGAATTCAGATTGTAATATAAAGGTCAACACCGTATCCCCATAGTGGAATGGTATGGGGTAGTCGATCTACGTACTCTGGATCTCAAAAAGGTGTGATCAGAGACATGGAGCAACATGTTTTGAAGATTCCATTCTTCACCCCTTGCGCCTCTGGCAGAGTCCGATCAAATTGAACGCTATAAACTCCATTGGAGGGCATCGCTCTTAAGTTGGAGGCCATCGCTAGTAGGTTGGAGGCCGCTGTACAGAAACATCTCACTGGGCCCCCTGCAACATATGCAAGTTCCCTAGGTCTCCCGGGGCGAAAGCCGTCACCGAAGCGGCCGATGCCGCCGCCAAGTCACGCCAATGGGGCCATGGGGGCTGTGGCCACCTCGTGTCATCCGCAAAAGAAGAGCAACTGGTGGATCTTCGTGCCAATATGTGCCGAATTGGAGTAACTCAGTTCCACATGCTTTGCAACAGATTGTGTTTGGCAAGACATGCATTTGTGCATGTCAAGTACTTCACGACTTCTTCCATCAATGGCAGGAGCCCCTCCCAGAGTCGGCGCACCGGTCGCGCGTTGGGCAGCCGCAGCCGGCGCAGCTTCAATGCGAGTGGAGCGCATTGCCCGCCGGCAACCACCAGCTTGATCGGCCCGGCCTCAGCGCCAAGCTTTCGGAAACAATTGTTTAACCCTATTCATTTCAACTGAGAGAACGTCTTTTGACATTTCCACGAAGCTGAGACGTCGGGAAGGTTGGCGCCCCTTGCTGCACGTGGGCCGCGGCACACAAATTTTGGCTGCTGTAGCGCAGCAACCTCAACCTCAACTGGCTCAAAATCTTCCGGTTCGTCTGCCCTGTGCATAGTGCGATTGACGACGGTTCCTTTTTCCGCCTTTGATGGGAAACAATTCTTAAACTTGGCATTTGAGGGGTGTGCCCTACGGACATTTGCAATACTCTCTGTGGCATTTCCTGCTGGTTTCTGAAGTCTCGCTTTATCCAAGTGATGGGGTATACAGCGAGGGTTGCCAACGAGGTTAGTGTGTGGCTGTGTGGCCTTCTTGTCACCGAAGCCTGGGTCGATGGTTGCATGTGGTTTTCACTCCGTTGACGAAAAGTCCAGAGATATGTCGCTTTGCCATTGTCCAATGCTTATTGTCGCCATTCACCGGGAGATGTGTCAGCCGATAACAGAAACCTCACTAAGCTTCGGCGCCTGGTGCTTGGTCACTGTTTTGCTAAATGTGTATATCTCCTTTCTACCCTTTTTGCAACCCAAATTTGCCAAATGATCATCAACTGACTCTGGTGGAGATTTACCGAACTTCGTTCTTATGTTAGCTCCCAAACCACCCATTCCCACCACGGATCACCCTGCGTTGCTGTGACTAGGTCGGGTCAGCATGAGGTTTTGGCTTTGGCCTCTGCCAGCAGCTGAAAGCCGAGGTCGGGCACGGCCCAATCCAACCTCATCAGTCGCCGGGGGCCCGCACATCTTTCGGAAAGGCGGGGTCATGGCCTTGGCTTTCTGCGCGGTTTCAGACACCCGGCCGTGGTTCCTTGGGAACGTCTGCAGGAGGTGAGATTAGTGAGATACAACAAAACACCCCTTGCTTCTACTAGCTTCTTGTTACTAGTAGTAAGGCACTTGTTACTAGTAGCGATGCACTTGTTTCTACTGCAACAAAACACCCCTCCCCAGTTTCCATGCTTGAACCAAAGCATCACACTTACATGATATGATATGCCTGATCCTCGTAGCGTGACTGGCTGATCGCCACTGCAGGTCAACCGACCAAGTTCATCTTCCAGGTTGATCATGGCACATAGCTTTCTGCGAACGAACCAATGATTGGTCGATGGCCGAAGGGGCGGAGTAAGGAAAAACAGCCACCAAACGACCTAACGGTCTCCTGTCCCAACTCCTGCCTCCGCCTCAGCCTCTGCCCACTTTTGATCTTCCGGCCTTTTTCCCTCTTGCTCAAAAAACTTTTGGCAAGTCGAAGAGTCGGAAAGCCAAAAGAGTGACAAAGTTGGCTTCATAAGTCTTCTGGAGAGTCGCAAATGAACGTCTCCACCCGGAACCTGTAAGTAGAGCCGACGATTTTTTTCAATTGCTTGTGGATGTTAAGAATAAAGAACGGTCAGATTTCAATTGAGCGTACACTTGAGTCCCGCAGAGTCTCGATACTGGGCATCAGATGGTCAGCCGTGCCAGCCTAAGATTTGCCTTGATACCAAACCGTGGGGTGTGTTTTTTCGAGGGGCATCTGGACGTAGCACTTGACAACACGGACACCTGCCTCCTACTTTCTTCGGCAAGACCCCCACCTGAAAGATCTGAAAGAAGGACGTCTATACAGTGGTGTATCTCGGTTTAAACCAACTTCATTGATGCCACTGATCACATCTACATCTACAAATGCCTTAGCTGCTAAGCTAGTTCTGATACCAAAGGATGATATTCAGAATATTACAATATATTATGGGAACTATTATGGGACCATGTGGGAGCGCTTCCCGGTGCTCTTGGCAGGGTGCCGAGAGCAGAAAGTTCATGAATCCCCCGAGGCCTTAGCAGCTCGGGTCCCGAGCGGAAGTTCACCACATGTTCGCCTGAAACCAACGCCACCCACGTTCGCATCGACCACCCGGACCACCTGGGTGACCTACTGAAATGAATACACTACGGCCAGGGTCGCCCCGTGCGTAGCGTCCGATCGCTCCGTTCGTAGAGGAGCCCCGTGCGTAGCGAACATTGTTCCTAGTAGTACGGCCAGGACCTTGCTCCTAGAAACGTATACTTCAAGGAAGAAAAGGACTTTAAGGAACCTAAGAGCGATGGCCCCCAACCTAAAGGCGATGGCCTCCAACCTACTAGCGATGGCCTCCAATAGCAGCTGATCTTTTCTGGCAAAAGTCCCTGGAACAAATCCATCTCAGGGGATGCAGGATTTCTTTTTCGCAGTTTGGGCCATCAAGTATGTTCCTAATCCAAAAAGAACAAACAACAAAAGAACCCATGCTACGGGTCAAGGCTCCCAGCCTATGCAGCGAAAAACACCACTGACCAGAAAGGCGCAAGAACCCCGCTCGCCGATTCCCGGAACCATGTTCTAGATCTCCCGTCTCCTTCTCGCCGCTTCGGGAGAATCTGAAGATTCTTTGATCTGCAAAAGGTTCAGGGTTTAGGTTTTTAGGGTTTCAGTTCAAACAATTCTTGCAGTTCAGACCTTTAGTCTTTAGCCTTTAGCCTTTGGCTCATCGATCCTACTTTAAGAAGTTAGCGCCACCTCACCAAGCAATGCACAGTTTTCTTTCAGTATTTTCCGCTCAGAGACTCAATGGGTATGCATCCGAAATGGTCTAAAAAGGAATCTCAGGCAATCCACCATAGCCATGGAGCCTTCCCCAATCCTTTCTCCAACCACAACCCCCCACACACTCGTTACCATTGGGCCCCCCAAAAAGGCTCCTATCCCGACCTCGTTCGCACCGACCTGGTGGCGACACACCGAAGCACCGACCTGGATGGAGCCGCAGCCGCAGCACTGCTCGCGCGTTCCGCACCGCCGAGGCCAGACCCAGCGCACGCACGCGGGGGGCGCGCACCGCACGGGAGCGGCCAGCGCCGGGCGTCTGTAGCCTGGCAGATGCTTTTTTGTGCGATGGATTGGTGCTACCAAAACCAGAAGCTGGAAGAGATTGGTGGTTGGTGTGGGCGCTTGGTGGAGATATGTAGAGATCCATCAAGTTTTGGTGATGTGACAAACTCACCTGTGCCACTGAGGGCAATGCCCGACCGGTTCAAAAGGGCCGATAGGCCACCGTTCTCTGAACCTGCCAGGTCATGGGCATCTTCACAAGCCGCAACGGCATCAGCAACCCCGCCATGAACACATGTTCTTTGGGCGTCAGGGCGCGGGCATCTGTGCTTGAGTAGCGGAGTAGCGGAGACAAAAACACCCCGAATCCGTGAGGCTGGTACCAACGGGGTGCTTCGCCCGCTTCGGCCGCACACATCACAGGTCAGGTGCAAACTGTCGCTGCTTGGGCAAAGCGTGGGCAAAGCACATGACTCGTATGGGTGTGTGTGTATCTTGTCAGGAGACCCCCTGGCCCGCCCTGGGTGAGTAGACTGGTCTATGTCCCGAAGCGAACCCAGGGGGTCGAACTGGGAGTCTCCCTATCTTGGTTGGAACCTACCTGCGAACCTCAACGGCTAGTGCGCCACCCTCTAGACCGCCCCCGCACTCATGCGGTTCTAGCAGCCACAGGTGAACATTGGAGAGCAGGAAGTTGAATTGCACCTCAAGCGCTCAAACACACAAGTTGAATTGTTGGGGGAGGCCATCGCGCCATCGCTCTTAGGTTGGAGGCCATCGCTAGTAGGTTGGAGAGCAGGAAGTTGAATGCCACACAAGTTGAATTGCAGATCTGCACCGGAAAGCGTACTTGGATCACTTCAGGTAGAGAAACCGCCAAGCACTGTCTATGGTGGATTTGTCCTGGTCGCCTTTCTGGTGAAGATTCACGATCCATTCGTCTGGATCGGCTTGGTATCCATGAAAATGGACAATAAATCCTGCATGTGATCCATATTTATCCGCATTCAGCCTTTCATAGCTCTTCTTTGATGGCCTCCTTTGGCAAAGACTGCCTCAAAGCCTCAAAAGCACGCTCCCACCCTATAGGACCATGCTTTCCCCAGGCACCTCCACCTCCACCAGCGTCTCCTCCGCCAGTTGCAGCGCCAGCGTCGCCGCGGCGCCGCCGCCCACGACGACGCGGCCCTCGGCGGAGGCCACGGCGCTGTCGCCGACGGCGTGGAGCTGCTCCACGAGGTCGCGCAGCTCGCCTCGGGCGGCGGCACGGACGAGACCGCGGCACCCTGGCGACCGTAAGACGAAGAGGTGATTGGAGGGGTGGAGAGGTGAAGAGCCGTATGGGTACTCAACTCAATTCGAGTGAGACTCTTTTTTCGAGTTTGCATCATAGCGAGAGGTCGCAACCAAAACGGTGCATTTTCATCTTGAAGGCCTCTGGCTACAAACATGCGAGGACACTTCTGCGTTTGAATTGCCTTCAATATTCGCTCATGCGATGCTTTCTTGGAACATGCGTGGCAAGTGACCCTCAAAAACTGCAGCCAATGCCGAAGTTTGGCCGAAGCAAGGCTGGGTCGGACGAGTGAAGTTGGTCTTTGACCAACAGAACCACGGAACCACAGAGACAGGAGGGAAAAAGCGAAAGCGGGACATCTTGGGTCAGGAAACGATCCCTCCCTTTGAAAAAGACTTCTTCTTTTGGACAACGCAAACGGTTCTCGGGATCAATAGGACGTGGCACGGCGATCGCTGCCGCAGGAGGACATGGCAACGAGGTCCTGGAAGAGTGAGCAGAGACTTTTCAACAAACCTAGTAGCTTGTTCCTAGTAGTAAGGCCACGAGCCCCTAGCAGCGTCCTTGTTCCTGGTAGTAAGGCCAGGAGACCCAGTAGTGTCCTTGTTGGATTATTTTTTTCTCATCCACTTGTTCGATCTCAGAGTGGAACAAAGACAATTTCACCCGAAAAGGTGACAGGTTCGCTGCTGACTGGGTAGGCAAGATGGTCCTACCTTCACATGTTTTTGTCGCGGTTTCAACTGATTGGGCGTCGTAGAAACTTCGATCGTCCCTCTCACCCACCTGGGCTGTGTCCGAGAAAAACTCCTTTGAACCTACACCACTAGATATGGCAGGAGGAGAGGTGTAGGTTTCTCCATTCAACACCACGTTAGCAGCGACACATACTTTCTGCTACTCCTCCCACTCCCACCACTGCTAACCCTTCTGCAAGAACTCAATGCACTGTGATCCCACAACATGTGGCAAGGCCCTAGACCTAGCCCCTCCTGCATGGGCGCGGACTGCACGAGGAGGTCGAAGGACGCGCAGCCTGCAGTAGGATCTGAGACTTTTCGATCTTTCCGAGAGAGAGAGAGAGAGAGGGAGAGAGAAAACACATCATGGTAGTTCAGGCAGGAGAGGCTCAGAGGCCACCATATGGATCCAAGGAGCTTCATCTCGAAGTTTTTTCCGAGTTTTTCATTGGCTCCTTATGTAGGAACGAGCTTCGGATTTCCAATAGGAAGACTTCCTCAGCCCCAAAAGACGATGGAGACAGGCATCTTTCGGTTGATCGTGTTCTGCAAAGATCGGAGTCGAGTCGGTGACGTCTGCTGTGGAGTGAAAAACCCGTTGGCATTTGGTCAGCCAACTCATCCAAATGGATTGTAAACCGCCACACGGGACATCAGTTGTTCAAAGGTAGAGAGTTCAATCCGTCCATTCATTGCGCATTTTTGTGGTGCATCATTTGGTGGTTTCTGGCCACAGCAACATGATGATGTTGGCTCGAACAGTGACTCTCCCATCCCTATCCTCCAAGGAACCCTCAACAACACATCCAGCCTCACCAAAAGTCACAGCTTGATTCAGTCATTGATTTTTGATCTTTTTTGATCGGAGAATACTGCTGCTGCCAGCACTATACAAGCTTGGTTATGCTTGAACGCATCTGCGGATCCGGCTGTGCTTTTGCTTCTGGCATTTGGTGCATTTCCATCCTTCACCCGAAACAACAATTTTGTGATGGACACCACGATTCCCCCGCTTCCAGCCTGCGCTGGCGGCCACCCGATGCTCCCGATGAAAGGAGAGCCACCTTGCTGAGGTCCAAGGCTGAAGTCGAGTCTCCTTTAAACACACCCAAGGTACCCTCGATCGTTCCTGCCAATCAGAAATCACCCAAGCCATAATCAGTATACATGGAAAGGTCGTTTTGTGTGGCACCCACCCACAAGAATGGTGGCCGTGAACGATCTCCAGACCACAAACACTGGCGTTTGGCTCACGCTTCTGAGCCCCTGGCAAAGCCCCTCCAGCCTGGCAGGAAGAGAATATCAAAGAAGATGCTGACTCTTGAAGTAAGCATGTACCAACAAACGTGTCACTGGTGTACAATTAATAAGGAATCACACATTTAGACATTCAGATTCCTTACCATGATGAAACAATCTGATCTGGGAAAACCTCTCGTTGCTAGGTTGGAGGCCATCGCTATTAGGTTCCTTAAAGTCTATTAGTAGCGTCCTTGCTCCTAGTAGTAAGGCCAGGAGCCCCTAGTAGCGTCCTTGCTCCTAGTAGCGATGCCAGGAGCCCCTAGTAGCTTCTTGCTCCTAGGTTGGAGGAGAAATGCGTGTCGCTTTTCAACTGCCTCTAAGATGTAGCTGGCGGCTTGGCCCACGCCCATGATGTGTGACTCAGCCTGCCGAGGGCTCACTGCTTTGGTGAAGAGGCCGCTGGGCCTTACAATAACCCATGTAAAGAGAACAGTAACTTCCCTGTTAAAAACTACTATAGTATGATTTTTTTTTGCATGTTACTATATAGATGAACCTTATATTTTGCTTGTCCTGCGCACAAGATGTCTTGACTTTCATCCTCTAATTCAAAGATCGTTGCCAGCATTCTTGCTGGCCCAAATTACACAAGAACGTGATCCATGCCAGCCCAACACAGCAACAAACAGTTTGCCCTAAACCTTTGGAGAATTCCATGATCAAGACCTGCCGGGCTGTTGCTTTGAGTGTCCCACAAACTCTGCGAAAACAAGCACCCTCTGTAGAGCGTCTTCTTCTGTTGATCGATGAACAGCCCGCACCACCCGGTAATGCACAGAAACGGATGTGTATCTTCAAGACTTCCATACACACCTCTTGGAGATCCAATTTATTCAAAGACCTCGACCAGCTAAGTGATGTACGCTACTAGGAGCAAGAAGCTAGTAATAACAATTAGTAGCTTCTTGTTACTACTAGTAAGGCACCTGTTACTACTAGCGTGGCACTTGTTCCTAGTAGCTTCACATACATCAGGTCCCTTTCAATCTCTTCCCATCCGCCACATCCGGCGTCCACGTTCGCTCCGGGCCGGCGCGATGGGCTGGTGGTTGCCATCCTCAAGGACCACCTCGACGCGTCAGGGACCATCCGAATGATCTCCCGAGCTCGCTGAAGCGATAGGGAGAGTGTTTGTGAGCATCCAAGAGGCTTTTTGTTTTGTACAGTTGTATCAGGTCCAAGATCTTTCGTCTTAAACAAGAACGCGAACTCCGGCATGTCTTTGGTGTTGATTTGGGGTTTTGTCAGCTAGACACTCAGGGTGGACTGTTTCCTATTCTCCTCCTTTCGCGTCCGACATTCTTAGTAGCACAGATCTTTTGACCTTCATGGCCCTCAACAAGAAGCTACTAGGAACCAGAGCATCGCTGCTAGCTAGGGGCGCTCCTGCCCTTACTACTAGGAACAAGGACGCTACGACCATACATCAGTCCAACCTCCACATCTCACGGAACGTCTGCGGGTCGTCCGTCCGTGCGTCCGGTGCCTCAGTCGCCTCTGCATCTCCCGACACGACGGCCACCCTGCAGGAGAGGAGAGGTGGTGGGGATGGGTAGGAGGTCAAATCTGCCTGAAAGTCGTGGTAAACATCCTACAGTTGCAGTATTGAAAGTGGTAGGAGGTCATAATCCTACAGGTGGTACAAAATCTACCTGAAAGTCGGTAGGAGGTCAAGCCACGGCAGTTACAGTACAACCCATCCAATCACCCACAGATGCAGAGGTCAATCTTTCTGGGGCGTTCTCCTTTCAAAACAACAATGCGATCCGTCGAGGTGGCTGTTTGTCCAAGGCGTTTTTTATCGCTTCGCGCTTTTTGTGATTCATTGGTGATTCATCCATGAGACATGCCTGTGGGTCAAAACCGGGGGACCCTGGTTGACCACGGAACTGGCGGAGGCGAAGCGGTCTCCATCGTCCAAGCCGTCTCCTGAGCATGGCGGCGGCGGGCAAGCGCAGGAAGACCTTCTTGCGGCCATCGTGGATGTCCGTCCTCGGTCAACACGTCGGGAAAACATCAACCAACCGTGGGCACTACTAGTAGCGTCCTTGTTACATAGTAGTAAGGCCAGGAGCTACGTCGGGAAAACATCAACTCCGTGTGACCCTTTCGGGAAGGGCATCGCTACTAGGAGCAAGGACGCTACGACATTTTGGTCTCTGATCGAACTCCTCCTGAATGAAAGGTCTGAATCCCAAACCCTCATGGTCTTGCTTGGGATCTTCATCCAAACAGCTTCATGAGCGCTTGGTGCATCTCTGTGCGATCATTTCCTTTGAGCCTGCTGGGGAGCTGCGGATCCGCTCAGTGACTCTTTTAATTCACACATCATTCACCCTAAACATCAACTAGAGTCAGGACCCTTGTTTTGCCCATTGGATGCATCTCTCCCCACAACTAGCTTATTCAAGATGTTCAAGAGACACCCATCCCCTGAGCCATCGTCTCTCCCATCTCGTCACTTGCCCACCACCAGGCCCTGCTCTAGGCCCATCTTTCAGCCAAGGAGGCCAATGCAAAAACACCCTAGCGATGTCCTTGTGACTCGTAGCTTAGTAGCTCGTTGTTACTAATAGCGATGGCCTCCACCCTAGTAGCTTCTAGCTACTAGTCATGAGGCACCTTGCTACTATAGGCACCGTCCTTAAGCCCAATGGCCCCAACACCTCGCTCCAAGCGTCAGCATCACGCGCTCGCGCATCAGCAGCCGTCCATCGTCCACCGGACCACCATAGACCGCGGAGCCACCCGTCGAGCTGATCGCGTCCTGGACTCTTCGTCGGTCCACGACTGGATCGATCGAAGCTGCGGAACGATCGTCGCCATTGTTCTGGAAAAAAGGGACGCCATCGAAGTAGAAATAAGGACCTCTCTCTCTCTCTCTCCAGTGTTTGAGAAAGGAAACAATCCGCCCCAAATGCTTCTGTTTTGATATGTGTTCTTTCAACTGAACTGTAGCTCTTCCGCACCCATCAATCCAGCTTCAAGTGGGTATAGCCCCAAAGTAGCAACTTTCGAGGAAACATTCGCAAAGTCTGTTCAAATCTCGTTGACCATTAGTTTTGGTTGGGAAGTAGCCTGAAACCCTTATCATGTTAAACCAGATTCTCATGTTCAATTCTACAATTCATAACATGTCATCACCTCTTTGACCTTCCTTTTGCCAACCCAACTGCGCCCCTCTCCAGCGGCAGTGGCTTTGCTCCCAGCGCATCGCACGCAGCGCCGAGGCCCAGGGCCGCGCCCAGGAAGGAGGGCGCGGAGGGCAGTGACGGCGTTGCCTGGGGCGAACCGTGAAGAAACTGCGAAGATGAGCAGAGTCAGTTCTTCAAAGGGCCGTGTAATCTCTTCCAGTCAAATGAATACTGTACACAGCACAGCACATCTGGGCACAGCACAGATGCCAGTGGGGCCAAGAGTGGTCCGTTTTTGTGCGCGAGTTGCGAGAGTTGGACAAGTTGATTGTCACCCTGTGTGACTGTGCTGAACCCCAAGGGGGTGGTTCTTGAGCAGCAACCATGGGGCTTTGTTAAAAGCAAAGTGCTGAAGTGCTTAGCATTGTTCAAAGCAAGGATAGACACTTTCTGAATGGATGACAGTAGGTGGAACCCTGCGGATAGGAGCAAAAACACATCCTTGGATGGAACTACCAAATCTACCAAGGCACTCCAGTGGTGGCCGGTCTCTCAATCACGGAGAAGGGAACCAGCGAGACCTCAGCACGGTCAGGCGTTTTCGGCTTGCTCTTCTTGGGGCAAGTCTCGGGGCTTGTTATGTTGAAACCGTTGGAGGGTCTCCAAAAGTGAAACGTGACGATGTGCAGGATTGAAGCAAATTCAGAAGTTTCATTCCTCGCAAAACATGGGATATACTCAAGTTTTGAGATGCTGAACATTGAACATGCAAGTCCCACCAAAGAGATCACTAATTTAGCAGTTACCTTTTGCTCCTAATCACCAGTCAAACCTTTCTTACTGCATTCCTCCCTAACCTTCCAGCATCGCTCCAAGTCGCCGCCACACCCATCGCCATACACCCCGCCGGTGCCGGTGACAAGGGCATCATTTCCTCCGGTCGTGGCCAACAGGAGGCACGAATGGGCCAACACACCTCACGATCAGCTTGACACCCTTCACCTCCAAAAAAACAAAGACGCCACGCCACGAAACCCCAATGAAGGGCTGGACGGGGGGGGGGTTGAAAAATCTGGACACCCAGCCTTCGGTTGGGAAATCGTCTGGGTGAAATCGTCAAGGTCTAGGGAATTTCCCAAATCCATCTTCACACGCCTCGAGGATCATCTGGTAATTCCCTGCAGGCAGCTCGATCTCCAAAGAGCTCCGCCTCGAGACAGGCTCCGCTCCACGACGTCTGTGACATCGGAACGGAGGTGTGCCAACCGGGTGCGGGGGGCGGCAACGGTGTTCGAAGGCCTCACTGGCCACGTTTGTCCAGAAAAGACCTGACTTCCCATTCTTTTTTTGGGATGTTCTAAGTGGTTTTTGCCCCATGGCTTTGACTCACAGCAGCCTGGTAGCCTCCCCACATGCCACACATAGCCCCCTGCCACAATGAATCCACCACCCTCATGAGTGACACAACATCATCTCAACAGCTCAATACAGGCCTCTCAATGCTCTTTTTGCTTCTTCATTCGGTCTTGCTCGGAACAGGCGGTTTGAGCCGCGTCCAACCGTCCGTCGGTCTCACATCGCCCCGAGCCTGCCGCGCTGTTCCCCCACCCACAAGCCCTCTTCGGTGACCAGCGCCACACGAACCTCGGTTGATCGAACGAACGAAGACGACATGTCGTGTGGCACCGTGGACTCCAGGTGGTGGACACTTTCACACCCAGCTGGTCGTTGGTGACCAAAACTAGCTGGTCGTTGGAAGAACCAAAAGCGGCTTCTCCAGAAGCGACTGTGCACAGTCTGGTCGTCTACGCGAAGTAGGGATGCTGGCAGTCACTGGCGATCGAATCCTCCAAGCATTTGCCTAGCCTGAAAAAGACCCTTTGACCTGGTTTTGTACTGTAAAACCCATGATTGTTCTGTAAAGGCTCTTCCAACGCCATGCTTCGAATCCTCCCAGAATGGGATCTTGGAATCGGCTCCGGATGGCAATGTGTGTCCGGAGGGTCGTGGTCGATGGGAGTCGAGCGTCTCAGTCCGATCCCGTTTGTCGACGGTCGCGGAACATGGGGCGGACATCGCTACGAACGGAGCGGTCAGGGCATCGCGACATCGAACGGAGCGATCGGACGCGAACCGAACGGGGCGCATCGCTGGCCTTACTAGTAAGATGAAGGCTACGAACGTAGCAAGGTGCATCGCAACGGAGAGAACATAGCAGTTTTGAAGTGCTTGGAAATCCAAGCAATCCTGAATGGATACAATGGCATTCTCCAAGCTAGCTCCAGATGAAAGTGTGCTACAAAGTTGCAAGCTACTCTCCCAGTCCCGAAAGTCAAACCGTTCGTTCAACAGCTCATTTTCACTGTGAAGTTCCGCCCAACAAGAGGTGTTCAAGAGAGGCCACCGCCTCCCAAGGAAGCCAAAGAGGCTTCCTTAAGCCCCAGCAGAATGAGAGAAGACTTGAATGATCCAACTAACGAAACATCCAACCCTTGACTTCGTCGCATATTTTTGGACTTCGTCGCCAGGTGGCGTAGTGGTGCACGAAGGAAGACCAACTCCCAATGGTGGCCTTGGAAAAGGACGTCGCCCACTCCCAATTGTGGCTTAGCGGATTATGATACTCTGGATATGATATCGCTGTGCGATACTGCATCGTCGAGCGATGACTTTCCTAGGTTTTTCTTCCAGTCCGGCGGGGCTCCGAAGGACGGTCGTCCTCACCATTTCCGGATTCGAAGGACAAACAAACATACGACCCGAATCACATGACCTGGTTGGTTCGAATTGAAGAAACACATCGGACCCTGATCCCCCCCTCCTGGGAGCCATAGAGGTCGTGTTCTCACCCTGCGACCTTGTTTTGCGGACGCTTGAAAACTGCGGGTGGTTCACACGAACATCGCATCGCTGCTCCTCTTAGAGCATGGACAAGAACAAGGAGTCGTAGATCAAGCTCTTGAGGCTTTGAGGCCATATGAGCCCCTCCAGGCTCTGATTGTATCCATCGACGAGACTCAAGCGTTGCAGGCCATTGGGTAAGTTTACTCCCTCCAAGGGTTGGTTAAAGCCATCACCGAAGGTGAGACTCTGCAAACCAATCGGCAAGGTCACTCCTTCTAAGCTTTGATTGAAACTGCTGCCAAAGGTCAAACTCTGGAGGCAAACTGGCCAAGTCATATGCTGCAAAGCCTGGTCGAAGTGATCACCAAAAGTGAGGCTCTGCAGGCTGCTTGGCAAGATCACTCGATCCAAAGACTGGTTAAATCTCTCTCCAAACACCATGCTCTTTAGGCTTCGCGGCAAAGTCACTCTCTCCAATGGCTGGTTGAAACTCACGCCAAATGTCAGGCTACACAAGTTGCAAGGCAACGCCACTCGTTCTAAACTCTGGTTGAACTCAAAGCCAAATGTAAGATTCTGCAGGCTGTTAGGCAAGTTTACTTCCTCCATGCACCTATCAAAATAGAAGCCAAATATCAGGCTCTGCAGGCTCTCTGGCCAGGACACTTGTTCCAACTTCTGATTAAACTCAATGCCAAAGGCCAGACTCTTGAGGCTGCTAGGCAGAGGTGCTTGCTCCAAGCTTTTGTTAAAGCGATTGCCAAATGTCAGACTTTCAAGGCAGTTGGGCCATTTGATCCCTTCCAATGATTGGTTGAACTCATTACCAAATGCAAGATGAAGAAGCCCACCGGGCAAAGCCACCCGCTCCAAACTCTGATTGAACCGGTTGCCAAACATCAAATTCTGAAGACTGCTCGGCAAAGACAGCTGGTCTAGACTCTCATTGAAATGCTGGCCAAGTGTCAATGACTCAAAGCTGGAGGGCCAGCTCACTTGAATCAAACTCTGGTCAAAGCTTGCACCGAACGTTAGACTCTTTAGGCTTTGCGGCAAAGTCACTCTCTCCAATGGCTGGTTAAAACTCACGCCAAATGTCAGGCTGCACAAGTTGCAAGGCAACGCCACTCGTTCTAAACTCTGGTTGAACTCAAAGCCAAATGTAAGATTCTGCAGGCTGTTAGGCAAGTTTACTTCGTCCAAACTCCTGTTGAAGTTGAAACCGAGTATCAAGCTCTGCAGGCTCTCTGGCCAGGACACTCGTTCCAAGGGTTGGTTAAAGTCATGGCCAAAGGCCAAGCTCGTCAGGCGTGGCGGCAAAGTCACTCGATCCAAGCTTTGGTTGAAGCTGTTTCCCAAGGTCAAACTCTGAAGACTCTGGGGCAGAGTTGCTCGCTCCAAACTCCGATCAAAGCGACTGCCAAGCTTTAGACTCTGCAACTGATGGGGCAGCCTCACTCCTTCCAAAGTCTGTTTGAAGTTCATGCCAAATGTTAGACTCAGCAGGCTACCGGGCAAGGTCACTCCCTGTAAAGGTTGGTCAAAGTTATGGCCAAAGGTCAAACTTTGCAGACCCTTTGGCAAGGTGACTCCGTCCAAAGGTTGATTGAACTCGCCGGTAAAGGTCAGACTTTGGAGATCGCGAGGCCATCGAAGTGAATCTAATTCTTGATTGAAGCAGTAGTGAAACTCCAGACTGCGCAGGGTATCAGCATCTTTCAGCTGTTCCAGAGAGTAGATCCCTTCCACTTGTGTGATTCCATCCAAACCCATCTGCTCCTCAGCTCCGGCACCTGCCAGAGATCGCCAGGCATCCTGCAAGCTTGCAGGCTCGTAGGTGTAGCTCACACAGGGAGCCTCCACGAGACCTCTCCGAGCTTCCAACGGTTCCAACGCTGGAAGAGTGAAACCCGGTGCTCGGGGTTCACCCATAAAGGTGGAAAGGGGGGTCAAACATGGTCAAACCGAAAGGGGATCCGAAAATGGATGGTTTTCCTTTTGGTGCTTCGTCCACCAGGATGTCGCCCAGCTGATCCAAGCGAACTGGTCCAAAGCTGACAGTCACTGGCTCGGTGGAAGAAGGCTTTTGTCGCATGTTCCGACATCACCAAAGAAACAAGTCCAACAAAGGAAATGCGAACACCTGCCAGACTTGTCTGTGTCCAAAGGTTTTCTTCCACCTTCAAGTGAAGAGACACCTTTACTCTATGCTTCACGTAACGTATCAACTTCACAACATGTAAGACATTCAACCCTTTGACACACCTAGATGGATCTGACAACCTCAAGCCATGCAAACCTTTCAATAGAGATCAGCACCTCCAAATTCAGGTGTCCACATCCCCCCAAAAGAACAACAAGAACACCAGCTTCAAGCCCCTCTTCCATCGCTTTGCCGCCTTGTTCCCGGAGCGTCGTCTTCGCGCAGAGCATCCGTGCGCCGGTCTGCAGGCTCACCCGGGCGCCGGCCTTGCTGGGCAGCCGCTGTCGGACCCGCTGCCGGAGCTGCGCGCCCGTGAGAGATGCAGGCACCGAGAGCGTCAAGCCTTCACCCGCCAAGCCCAGCACCTCCGGTGGAACGGATGAGGGACTCTCCCAACAAATCCTCCGGAAAGAAGACGAAGAGGTGGGTGGACTTTTTCAAGCTTTTTCCAGAGTCTCGGGAACTGATTTGGGAGCTGATTGTGTGGTCTTTTATTCAGGTTTAAGCAAGAAGGAACAGTCCATCTCTCAGCCGGAGATGCACCTGAATCTCCAGGAGCTCATCATCACTCAGCTCGTCCCCCATGGCACCCAGTTGGGATGGGACGGATTTCGAGACGGCGGCACTGTCAGAGGACTTGGTCGATTTGTTGTTTTGCTGACTACGAGGTTTAGGTCCTGGAGGTTCAAGGTTTCAGACTTCTTTCCTAGGAATCTGTCGCTCGCGCGAGCTTGCAGTCCTGAAGTCACCAAGAAATACCAAGAATAGGGAGGTGGAGGCTTGCACTTATGTCCATCATCAATCTAAACAGCAGTCTAATCGACATTCCCAGAGATATGAAGTGAGTGTCGCTATGATATGTGAAACAAACATGTGAACAAACATGCGACACTCACAGTCCGAAGTCATGAGGTAACCAGCAGTCATCACCCAGTTTCCTGTTGAGCAAGCATGATTTACCAGGGTGTTCTTTTCCTACCAAAGGATTCTTTTCCGGTCCTTTTTTGTTTGTGTCTCAAAACGGATTCAAACCCAGCTCTCGCACCCAAATTTGGGTTCGCTTGAGCCACAAGCGCTGCAGCAACCAAGGGCTGGACAGAATACGCTACCAAGGACTGAGCAGGGTACTGAGATGTAAAGCTTGACCACGAGCCTTACCCAATTGCTGCATCAGCTGTCTCAGCTGTTTGGTCCGTTGGTTCATCTGATAACAACGAGACGTGCCAGTTGGGCCCATGACTTTTAGTCTCCAAATGAATTTTTCCACAACACTGTCTGGATTCTGTTGCCCGTGTATTTGGCCGAGAGTGCCAAAAGGAATCCAAGGAAGCGTCTCAACACTTTTCATGGAGAAGCGTATCAGGCGGATGAATCCAGGTGGAGAACTATAGCAGTGACACCACAGGGTGACAATACTTCAATGCCGGGAGACCCCCGAAATCCTTGCCCCGAAGTCTCGCCTGGGTCGACGAACGATCTATTCACATCAAGTCCAAGGGCAGCTCGTTCGCCGGAGGAAGGTCCCATGAGGCCGATGGAGACCCACCGGGCTGAGAAAACCAGGAGACGAATCGACGAAGCGCCCAGCACCCGACTTTGGACTAGCAGGCCCAGCAACCAAAACCAGCACTCCCGTCAGAAGCTCAAGGCTGAACCAATCAGAGGAGCAACAACCCACCTTTTCGCACCAAATCAGTGGAGCAACACACGTTCAACGCCGAGATCTTCTCGTTTCGGTCCGACCCCACCGACGCACCGACGCGGTCGACCGAGGTGCCACCGATGGCCGTGGCACGAGCAAGGGCAACTTCAGCGAACTGGGCAGCGCTCGGAGGTTCCTCGAGGCGAGCGAAGGGGCGAGCCGTGGCCGGTGGCCGGTGTCCCACCGGGGGGAAAAGGGTCGGGATGGGAGGAGTGAAAACAGCAACTTCTTGGGACAAAAGGATTGCTTTTGTGTCTGTTGTGCTACTGTCTGGATGTCTAATTAGCGTTGCATATCTGTTTGCAAACCTGAAGAAGCACAAATAGCTACAAAACAAAAACACATGGAAGACTACAAGAACCTTTACAACATCTTTTAATGAAATATAGACAAATAGCTTGAGGGGCCCAAAAGGAAAGAAACATGACATGACGAAAGGGAACAAAACGATGCGTAAAGGCGACACAAGGAACAAGAACGAGTGAGAGAACACAACACAAAAATCGTTTCAACACGGTTTACAGGTCTGAAGTTGACAGAAAAGGAACAAAGAAAGGAAGGAACAGCGACAGGACTCAAGAAAAGTCAACAAAACCTGAAGAAGGAGGGGCCTTCATTGACACGTGGTGGCTGCTTTCGGTGCGGCCCCCGCAGCCCTGTGCTGTGCCCGAGGTGCAGTTGCCGCTTCCACTGCCAGCTGGATCCACCGGACTTGCTGTCGGCCCCAAGGTCCATCATCCTGGAGTTACATCCGACGGCGCGACCGATCCCAACCGCAGGAGTTCGTCAGCAGCAGCAGCAAAAGAAGAGAAACACCGCGCTTTGTTGCGGCTCAAGGAGTAAAGGCTGCAAAATGAGATGTACAGCTATCTTGCGTGGGGTCAATTGTCTTAACTACCTCAATACTTAAACACCGGCACCAGCAAAACCGTCCTTGCCACACCATCGCACACCGCGTTGCCAAGCACGTTTCCAGCGCCGGAGCGAGCAAGACCCCAGGTCACGAAGAAGGGGATCGCATCAGCAGCTGCCTTGGTCAGCCAAGTATTCGACGGGAAGGGCATGGCTTGTCAGACAGCCACTGAAGCCCAGTCGAGTTGGACGGATCCAGAAATCTAAGTGGTTGGTGTTTAGTTGTCTTTGTGAATCCTGTGGGAAGCCATTTACCACCTCCCAAGTGATTCCCACCCATCCTCTCCCAGCCTGGTCGGTACTGCGGAAGACCATCTGATAGATGCCTTGAGACGTCGGCGCCACCGAACTCCGCTCACCACGGAGTAGCACACTCCGAGTTCGGTGGTGGCTGTAGCAGCAGAAAACGTGTGAACCACATGAAGCAACTCCGCTCCGTCGACAACGGACGAGTCAAAACTGGACATTCCTGCAAAAAAGCGGGTCTTGGCACTTCCTTCCCGGTCTTTGGCCCCTGAATATTCAGGCTGAATCCCGCAAGTCGGTCGCTGGACATCAGGTGGAAAAGACTCACCGACATGCTCACAGGTCGGGACACTTCGTGGCCCATCTGCAAGTTGACCTTCCAAAAACAGAACCGACACCATTGGGAACCATAATTGACAGACTCGAGCTCTCAAACGACCTGACCCCCACAAAACACACTTACAACGATCCTCAAGCCATCCAGCCTTAACCCACTGAAACAAAAACCATGGAGAACCCCCGAGGGCCCCATATGGTGGGTGCGCACCTTTCGACTTTGATAACGGACGGTTTGAACATGCTTGAGATACCTGTCCAACATGCTTGAGATACATGCTCTAGACATGAACCTCCACCAAAAACCGAAGCAAACCTTGTTGAAACGAGACACAACATACTTCAACATACTTGATCCATCTTCATCTTACTTCATCCTAATGTTAAAACAAAATTTGAAGTCATTCACTTCCTACCTCATCATCCTCATCACCCACAAATTTCCTGTCTTTCTGTTTCTTTTACCCACCCTCCGTGCCCCATGCGCCCCATGCCCCACCTGCTTGGAGCTCCGAGACGAAACCGGCGCCCGTGGCACTGTTCGAGGAGATCGTGCTGGAGCCTTCCCGAGCGACGGCGAAGGCTCACACCGTCTGCGAACACGGTGTGCGAGGGACCGGCGCGCCGGTCTGCGGGTTCACCTCCGCTGCGTGACGGAAACGATCTGTGCCTTTCGCTGAAGGTTGGGAACACACCCGCTGCATGTGTCAGAAGGGCGTTTGCCTCCTGACATGCCTTGAAGGCATTTTTGGGGCCAGGCTCCAAAACCTTGCATCTGGGCTGTGGGAGCATAGAAGCAGGTTGTCTAAGACCACGAATTGGTGTGTTTTTCTCGGGCCTTTGGGAAGCACTGTCTGCATGCACAGGTGAGAAGAAGCTTCGCCAAGCAGGTCATCCTGTGGACACCCTGTGGAAACCGGCTGTCTCGCCCTCGTATTCTGGCGCTCCCCGAAGCAGAGTTAAGCCAGCTAGACGCTGGCGGCGATGTTCCATGAAGAAAGGCCTCTCCGGAATTATATAGTAACAATAAAGCTTTCAAGTATGTCTTTGAAGCTTTCTGGTAACTAGAAGCTTCCTTTACAAATCGTTTCACCTGTAGTTGCTACAAGTAGAATATGTCTTGACGTCTCCAAGTTGCTCTTCTTGTATGTCGGCTTGTGATCGTGAGATCGGAGGCACAGAGGAAAGCTAGCGACGAGTTGTGCAATGTGACGCGTTGGACGGCAGCAGCGCCGGCATTTGCAGAGGAGCGAGGCTGAAGGTGGGTGCGCGACCAAGCCACGGGGCGATGACATAGCTACTTGATTTCAATATCAATACCGATCACAGCAATGTAAGAAGAAGGATGGGATTTCTTACAACTGAAGGGCTCAGGGCAGCCCTGAGGAATTGTATCCAAAGAAAAAGGGCCACAAAGAAACCTTCCAGGAGCACCCACACCCAATCCATTTCGCCTTCGGCTTTCCTAGCAGCTCAACAAGTACTAGCATAGGAACTGACTGAATCTTGTTGGTTCGAAGAGGACGTACTCTATCCGATCACTTCGCAGGCTTCCATGCATGTTGAACAAAGAGTAAGGTCTTTGAAAGTTCACACATAACCACCGACCACCAAACCAATCACCCGACCACGACCAATCCCCCAAGCCCATGGACGCGCTAGTGGCCTTGCTGCAGCTCCACCAAGAGCCTTGAGGACGATGGCGGGAGAAAACACTAACTAGTAGCTTCTTGTTACTAGTAGTAAGGCACCTGTTACTACTAGC